TCTCTAATTTTTTTCTTATGAAATGATAAAGCTACCCATTTCATTCTATATGAGGTCAATTTTTTTTATTGGAGTTAAAATTAACGTAGATATATGACCGAACCTAACCAACCCTACCTAACCTAACCTAACCTATCTTTATAGGTCAGGTTAAGTTAGGTAGCCGAAAAAGTTAGGTTAGGTAAGGTTAGGTAGGTTAGGTAGTCGAAAAACAAATAATTCATGAAAACTTGGCTTATTAGGCAAATCGGGCCTTGTATAGTAGGCTGAGAAGTGCGTTCTGGCTACTAGGTACGACATATATATATATATATATATATATATATATATATATATATATATATATATATATATATATATATATATATATATATATATATATATATATTATACGTGGCTTAAAGGTACAGCAAGAGATACACATGTACTTTGGCCCACAGACTAATACAGATTATATGTAACCGTAGTCCACCACGGTTACATATTTTAATACACTGGGAGTTTGATTTAGCCTTCAATCAAGTTCAGGGTATTTCATAGTTTTTTGTTGTGTATTTGTTTTGAGAAATGTTCAGTTGTGAGAGTTTCAATACAACTGAAAAAGAATCATTCAGCTGCAGGCGATGAGTCACAATAACGTGGCTAAATTATGTTGACCAGACCACACACTAGAATGTGAAGGGACGACGACGTTTCGGTCCGTCCTGGACCATTCTCAAGTCGATTGTGAGAATGGTCCAGGACGACTTGAGAATGGTTCAGGACGGACCGAAACGTCGTCGTCCCTTCACCTTCTAGTGTGTGGTCTGGTCAACAATCATTCAGCTTTTTAGGTAATCCAACAGTTGACAGACTTTATACAAGGCCAACACCAAAACTGTTGGCGTATATAGGGCGGCCTTACCGTTGAGTGCGTTGCCTGTTACTAATATTGCAACAAATACAATATTATATAATAGTATGTGTGTAACTGCACTAACAAGTACTTAAACGCCAATTCCTTAGCAAATGTGTATAATTATCCATTTAAATTATAATGAAGACTAGGTTGTTACAGGGAGCATGTGGCAGGAAATAGTGTCGTGAGACACGCAACAAACTCCAGCGTGGCACAGACACAGTGGCATAATCGTGCGGCTGGCAGCAGGAGACTTGTTTACCCGGGTGGAATGTTGCACTCAGGAATTTATTGACTACGCGAGACCACAGCTAACTTGTGAATGACAAAACCACAGGGGCTAGATTCACGAAGAAGTTACGCAAACACTTACGAACCTCAATCTTTGGCGGGTTTATTTACAATTATTAAACAGCTAATGAGCTCCGAAGCACCAGGAGGCTGTTTACAACAATAACAACAGTTGATTGGCAAGTTTTCATGGTTGTAAACTGTTTAATAAATGTAACCAAAGCCATCAAAGATTGAAGAAAGATGTACACGTTCGTAAGTACTTGCGTAACTGCTTCGTGAATCTGGCCCGATGCTTCAATTTTAACGCACATTTTCAACGTACCTAATAAGATGGGTATGGGGTGCATAATAAATGAACTAAACTAACCTAATACAAATTCGTCTAGGTTAGCATTTGCTCAGTTTTTATGTAAAGTTTTATATTGCCATATAAAATTCACTAATGTCATTTATGTCACCCACACACACACACACACAAAAGAATGGCCGAGGTTGATGGTCTGACGCTTTAGGCTACTATAGGCATTCCAAGATGTACCATATTGTGTACCTTTCTCGCTGTTACCTCGCAGTGATTCCGATGATCAACGTCCCGGCGGCCCGGTCTCTGACCAGGCCTCGTGGAGGTAGTCAGTGGTCTAAGCAGTCACAGGCCAGTCATTGGCGGCCCAAGTGAAGTGCTTTAAGAAATATCGGCATCGATTGAGACCCCCCCCCCTCTCAAAAAGCGATTTCCATGATGTCTGAAGTATTTGTTATTTCCTATCGAGTTGTTCAGCAGCTACAGTGATTCGTAATCTATTTTTTTTTAGAGGGAAGAGATGGTAAGAGGGGGGAGAGGATGAGGGGAGGGAGAAGAGATGGCAAGAGGGGGAGAGGATAAGGGAAAGGGAAGAGGGATGAGTGTGGGAAGACACACGAGCACAGCATATCTATCATATCTACATTTGAAGCTGTGTATGGAGTCAGCCGCCACCACATCACTGCCTAATGCATTCCATCTGTTAATTACTCTGACACTGAAAAAGTTCTTTCTAACGTCCCTGTGGGTTATTTAAGTACTCAGTTTCCACCTGTGTCCCCTTGTTCGCGTACCACCCGTGTTAAACAGTTTATCTTTATCTACCCTGTCAATCCCTTAGAATTTTGTAAGTAGTGATCATGTCTCCCCCTTACTCTTCTGTCTTCCAGTGTCGTGAGGGTGTGGGTGGGTGGGCGGGCGGGTATGTATGTGTGTGTGTAATTATCTAAGTGTAGTTACAGGATGAGAGCTATGCTCTCTATGCACAGGATCACGCGTCCAGTGTTCTGTCCGCTCAACCACCGGCTCCCCGACTACTAGGCCTCAGATAGTGTATATTAGGCCTAGAAAGGTTAGGTTAGTTTAGGTTGTCTTTGCAACATAAGTAGAAAATCGTCTTCCTGTTTGTCCAAATTCAATAATGCCGATTTCTACTTTCAAAATTGCGTTGTACGTCAGAATATGTACTATGGTCCTCATCCTTCCTATAAGTACTACCAAAACAAGAGGATGAGCTGGTAAGCGCATGAGTTTTTTGAGTTTAGTGAGTGAGTGAGTTTAGTTTAGTTAGACGTGCGCGCCTGTCGATACGTACGACTTGCACTAATGCCTGAACGTATCTGCTCCTCAGCAACTCTCTTCATGCCTGGCCTGGCCTGCCCTGCCCTCACCACTCCCTCCCTCCCCCCCCTCTCTCTCTCAAGCTTGGCCCCCTATGCCACCCCGCGCCTCCACTAACGCCCTCCGTGCCTGCGAGTGTTGGCTGATGCAACACTGGAGCAATAGAGATCATCCAGCCCATACGGATATTATTGTGATATCATCTGCGCTCTTATTGTGATGTTGGCAATCCAACTACATTTTCAGGACCTATATTACATAAATACCTATAAATAGACCTATCTATTAAATAAACACAATGCTAGTTTTTTTTTTTTTTAACTACTCTGTAATCCTTGATACAGAATAGGGTATGATGACGATGTGTCACAACGTGGCTTAAGGAATGAATGAATTTGTCCTGCCCGAAACGCTTTGCGTAATAGTGGCTTTAGGCATTGTATGTACTAGTCCTATCTATAAATCTATCAATTTTTGTATAACCTCTTGTATGTATGTACTTTACCTGAATAAACATAAAAACATAAGAGCAAGGTAACTGCAGAAGGCCTATTGGCCCATACGAGGCAGCTCCTATCTATAACCACCCAATCCCACTCATAAACATGTCCAACCCACGTTTGAAACAATCGAGGGACCCCACCTCCACCACGTTACGCGGTAATTGGTTCCACAAATCAACAACGCTGTTACCGAACCAGTATTTACCCAAGTCTTTCCTAAATCTAAACTTATCCAATTTATACCCATTGTTTCGTGTTCTGTCTTGTGTTGATACTTTTAAGACCCTATTAATATCCCCTTTGTTATGTCCATTCACCCACCTGCAAACCTCCACCATGTCACCCCCAACTCCCCGCCCCTCCAGTGAATACAAGTTAAGCCCCGCCAATCCCTCTTCACATGAAAACATTTGAATTTTGTTTTTAATTTGAATACCAAACCACACAACAGAAAATGAGACGATGACGACGACGTTTCGCTCCGTCCTGGATCATTATCAAGTCGATTGTGATGACATGAGGTGGTTGTGGTTTTAGATTTAACTACTCAGAACGAAATATCCATGTAGCACGGGCTATAGTGTGAGCCCGTAATAGATTGAGACGAGCATGATGATTGATAGAGATTAAGCCACTCTAAAGGAGGCACAGGCATGTACGTAGGTCCGTCCATACGTGGAGGCTCTTTCAAGCCATTACCAGTACCAATAGATGATACTAGAGATCTGTGGATGGATTGGGAGGAGGTTCATGATGGATTTCAGCCTCAGAGGGCTGGCTTTACCAGTTATGGGGCTGGTGGGTTAGTGTAGACCTCTAGGTCTTTCGTCTTTTCTTTGACTGAGACTTGCTGCTAGTTGACATGGCCGTGATCTTGTTGGAGTTCGGTGAAGTGGCCTCCACGAAGAGGTCTTGTGCAGAGTAGGTGTTGTATTTGTGCTGCTGCAGTGGAGCTCCTACTAAGATTTCCTCGTCCAAGTCTGTAATATCTGTAGTTGGTGGTTTTGTCTTTGGTCTCGACATGAAGTAGGTTCAGGTGTCATGGATTAGTGGTAGAATCTGTTTCTGGAGAATTAGTGATGCTGTTATGGCCGGAGCCGGTCGGCCGAGCGGACAGCACGCTGGACTTGTGATCCTGTGGGCCTGGGTTCGATCCCAGGCGCCGGCGAGAAACAATGGGCAGAGTTTCTTTCACCCTATGCCCCTGTTACCTAGCAGTAAATAGGTACCTGGGTGTTAGTCAGCTGTCACGGGCTGCTTCCTGGGGGTGGAGGCCTGGTCGAGGACCGGGCCGCGGGGACACTAAAAATCCCTGAAATCATCTCGAGATAACCTCAAGATAGTATTTGTAGACAGCACGTGTGCTAGTGCATCTGCTGAGATTGTGATGTTAGGAGCTGGAGAGATAAATACCTGTTTGTGCTGCTCTGGTCTTAGGTGGTTCTGGAGTCTGTGTTGAGATCGACCTCGTGGTCATCCTGGTGGTAGTCTCCAGAGTGGTAGTGGAGATAGTTTAGTTCATTTATTATGCACCCCATACCCATCTTGTGGGCGGTAGTGGAAAGGGTTACAGAGGCACACAATGGGCTCAGGGACTGAACCCCACAGTTCATTTAGCTAAGCAAGTTACAATCTTGATGAGCTAATTACAAAATTCAAGAGGTTGTAGTCACATCAACAATGGGTTCGAGATCGACCACAAGTACAATTTTTAAATTAAGCAACTGACATATGTGGAGTGTGTTGGGAGGTGCCACTGTTTGGTAGGAATGGGAAGTCTTCTGATAGGTTGGTGGGAGGTGAGGTGCTGGTGGCTGCTCCAGTAGCTTAAGTAGAAGATTTGGCTTTATTGGTTTCAGCCTCATGCCTAATGATTTCCTGTCTGCGAGGACAGTGATGGGAAATTGCAAGGTGATCGCCGCTGCAGAGGCAACAATGGGTTTTTTGACTTGCAAATGAAGTAATGATGGTCCTGGGCGCAAAGGCTGCACTTCTGGACGGGGTGGTGACACTTGTTGGTGGGGTGGGAGTAATCGTAGCACTAAAAGCACTCTTGTAGCTTGAGGAATCGTTCCTTTTTCACTTGCAAGAGTGGAATCTTGATGTTGAGACGAGGGAGGCACGGGCATTAAGTTAGGTAAGAGAGAGGTGAGGAGGAGGAAATCTTAAAAGAAGGCAAGAGCAAGGCAAAAAGTATGTATAGGATAAGTGTAAAAGGGGGTAAGGGGATAAGAATAGGAGTAAGAATGGGAACGTAAGAAAAGAGAAAACAAATTATTTTTTTAATTCATAGGGAGGGAGTTCCATAGACAGAGTCCTTTTATTTGCATGGAGTGTATAATTATATGTATAATTTGACAGTCTTCTAAACATATGTATAATGTAGTTCATGGATATCATTTTATAAGGCCTCAATATTGTTTTTAAATTCCTACTTTCCCGTAGCTCTGTGTCATCTGCAAACAGGATGATGTGGATCATGTCACCTGACAATATATAAACAATGCAGGGGAGATGACAATTATATCCTACCTTACTATATTAATTTTTCAACCAATCCAGAGACTGTTGATGTATATTTTGATTGCAGGTGATTGAGGGAAGCATCCCAAGTCCCTATGAAAGAATGTACCAGCCAAGTGCCAAAACCTGTAACATCATAACCCATTGTACCTTTTTGTACAATACACAGTATAAATACAAAACAGGTTGGCTCCAAAATATTACCATGCAGTACATAAATTTCAGTGATGTAGAGTACACTTGAGAGGATGTGCAGTGACCAAATATTTAACATTCATTGATTTTAGTAAGGAGTCAAGTGCTGTCTAGAAAGTGGAGTTAGTTATTGATCTAATTGCTGATTTTTGTTGAGTTAGAGGTTGAAGATAATGTTAGGTAATTTGAACGTCAAGCACAAATACTGTAGGTGAAATAAGGATAGACGAGTGAATAATAAAGTGTTACTAGGGCAGAGCGAGGTATACATCTGATTTTAGAGAGAATCTCGTTTTAGAAACTTTGCCACTATACTTATTACGTATATGGTACTGGAAATTCAGCTTATCAGTGTGAACACCATGGAAATTCCTATCTGCTCTGTTCATAATGTGGGTCTTATTAATTTTTAGGATAATTTGGTGGACTTGTTACCATGCAAAATTTAGAACATTTTATGAATGCTAAGGGCGAGATTGTTAGCAGATAGACAAAAATGAACTATATTTTAGTTCAGTATTCATTGTCATTTTATTTTTAATTTTATTTGTTTATTAATATATACAAGATTTCTTACATTATTGTACAGCCACTAGCATGTGTAGCATTGTGGGCAAGTCCTAAATCCTAAGTTCCCATAATACGACCCCGCCAAATCATCTAACAACCAGTATTTACAAATACTGTACTGTAGTTTAGGATCGGAGAAATTGAAAGTTGCATTATCTGCAAATAGAACTGGTTTCAGGTGTTGAGTGGCATCTGGAAAGTCATTTAAGTGAATGAGAGAGGAGTGGAACAAGTACACCACTGTATGCACCTGAGGAATGCCTATGTTAATTAATAGGGTGGGGAAAGTAATGTCATTCACAGAAACACAGTGGAGCCTGTCACTGAGGAAAGATGGCAGGTAATGAATGGAGTGACCTGGCTCCAGTGTTCCAGTTTGAGATTATTATGAGCAATGGTGCCAAAGGCATTAGAGGTCAATAAACTTACAGAGGACTCATTTTCATCATAAACTGCACCCATCAGTTCAAGTAAACAAATGGGAGCATCACTGGAGTTTTTTTTGGTGTCTGGCAAAAATTATTAATTCCTATATATATATGTAATCCAACATTCATTACACCTATAACGTAACTGTAAAAGAAACGATGATAAAGAAATGGTGCCCTTTTACAAAGTTATTAGTTAAAAAATGTGGATACTTTTGCACTGTAACAATCCATATTTTGTTATACTGTACCATCCACAGTAGCTATACTATAGCTACACGTCTCATTTTAAGACGATAGGTTGGAGGAATATATTAAGTGCTACAGATCTTCATGAACTGAGAAGCAATCATCCTTAAGCCCACCTGGTTCTGATCACTAAGTTTTTTTTTAATCACATCATTTACATAATGTATATCCACAAACAAAATCCTAGCATTCTTAATTCTAAAAATATTCACTGGTTTTCCCTTGTGAATTAATTTTCATTAATAAGACTAGTCAATGAATAACTAGCACAACTGGTCTTGCAGGAAGCTGTAAGACTAATTGGTTATGCTTTAAACAGGGACAAATGTACCTTATTTCATACCTCACCCTGAGAATTTATCGTGAGCAAGAGAAAAAAGTAGGGGATGACAAAAGGATTACTAAAAAAAATAAACATTTTAAATTAGTTTAGACATGTATAATACAAAATCAAAAACATTATACAATACACAGTATATTTATAACAAGTTACATTAATTTTGGCCTTAAACTAAATCATTAATCTAATAAAAACAGTTTCCAATTGTATAAGCTTAAAGATTATTTGTATTATTATTATATTAAACAGCTTTATAAACTAGTACAGTAAATCCTTACAAATAAGCTGGGCCTTGAGAGGATGCCATGTCATTGTCAATTATTCTGCCACTAAGGGGCTGTGCTGCAACATGGGTCCTGCAAAAGAAAATGTAGTAAAAAATATCGGATCTCGTTTTAATACAGAACCAATATGTATTCATTGGAGAAGACAAAATTAAACCTATTTCATTTAAATTTTGTTTATTCCATAATTTACTGAAATACTGTACTGCATTATAATTGCAGCAGATAGACATGTCCCTATCCTTGGCATTTCCTAAATAATATGAATATTCTCAGAAAAAATCCTCTAATATTGAAGCAGGCCATAAAAAAATGCAATTCATTACATTCAGCACTTCATTTCTGGGCTTCAGTAGCTTCCTGGTGCAAATTGAATCATCTATGGTGCCTTGGACAAGAAATTGTCTTAGGACTGAAAGATGCATTTTAATGATTATACAAAGATGGAGGTACTGACCCATGGAACAAAAAAGGTTGGAAAGCCGTGGGTGGCGGGACAGCAGTAGCAGCTCTGACTTGAAAGAGTTACCAAGAGCCACACAGGCCCAGCAAGGACAGGGAAACATTCAACAGATAATGAGCCACTGACACGAAAGTGGACGGCCACAACTCTTCAGCCAAATGTTGGCTAGAAAAAATTGAAAAGAACTCGGTAATGACAGCACACTTGTAAATGTCATACATACAGATACATATCAGGCTAGTAGAAATTAACCACCTGACAATTAATCCGAGAGCACTTTGTTAATTTTGGAAGGTAACAGGATTGACAGAGCCACAGCATGGGATGCATTGGTACCATACAAATAATGCAGCAACAGAACAGAGGGTGTGATGCACCCTTGGTCAAACCAACCAAGCATCTGCAACTAAAGGACCGTTATGAAATGCAGAAGTCTCATTCTTAGTTAAAAAGAGCAGAGGCTGAAGATACAGAGAGTAGTCTCAAGGATGAAATGAATAAATCCCTCTTTTTGTATGGGTTAGTATGTGAAAAAATAAATGTTTTTTATCAGCAAATAGCATTGGGTTTAGATGTTATGTGGCATTTGGTAGGTCATTAATGTTAGCCCATAGCCCAAAATGCTATGCATAATTAGTGACTTGAAATATACAATGACTATCTACTTGGCAAGTACTGTAATCCATCCTTTGAACAATTTATAAACAAAATATTAATAAATTACGTTTATCCAACAAAGTACTGTACATGAAATTTATTTCTTAATTTTTCCACTTTCAATTCATTTACAAAGAAATTTATAAAATTATTTTTTTTTTCTAATATTTTAAAAACTATGCAGTGGTGACCCAGGGTTGTGAGAAACACACATGCCTAGGGTTAATAATTACATATACTAACCTGACCACACACTAGAATGTGAAGGGACGACGACGTTTTGGTCCGTCCTGGACCATTATCAAGTCGATTGAGAACTTGAGTATGGTCCAACAATCGACTTGAGAATGGTCCAGGACGGACCGAAACGTCGTCGTCCCTTCACATTCTAGTGTGTGGTCTGGTCATCATACTTTAGCCACGTTATTGTGACTCATCGCCTGCATATACTAACCTGATTTTCTTCCAGTGCATGAAGTTGGCTTTCAAAGTTTTGGGTTTCTTCTAGATTCAAAACCACACATTGGGAATGGCTGCCATCATAAGACAGTTTACAGCTGGACTCCGAACTCCAGCTACCATCACCATCGCTGGTCAAACCAAATGTGGGGTTTGAAAACCGTAAAGCTGGATTGCAGCTGAAACATGAGTATAATACAATATCTCTAACACCAGTACATTTTATGTTGTACTTATCATACATTAAAATTCATTCCCATAGGATTGGAATTACTGTGATAACAAGGAGTATACAAAAGTATCGGTTGGGAACAAAGAATTTATCTGCATTATTTGCAGACGGTATGGAGGAGAGTTACGTGTTGTTATAGAAGAATCAAATGCTTGATAAATTCAGAACATAACAAAAACATTGTTTAATAATAACTCTTGCATGTAATAAAATATTTTGGTGTAATTAATCACCTTCCATCTTTAGTTTTACAAAAAGTTACCACTCTCTTCCTGTACCAACAGCAACCGAAGGTGGCCAAGGCTACAGCTAGTAATGAGAGACTGATGGTAACAGTGATAAAGCTGTCTTTAGCACTAGTTGAGTGCACCCCTTCATCTTCACAATGAGCACCAGACTCTCCCACACCACACCTGACAATAAGAAACACATTATCACTTTTGCCACTACATAAAATTGAGTTAGGTTAATTTTATTTAAGTTCATTTCAAATTCTGTTCATCCTGGAACTGTTTTCTTTATAATGCTAACACAAATTGACAAATATAGTGCACTGTACTCTAACTTCTTTACTTTACTTTTATCTACACCAGAGTGCTTGTGGGTCATATGCAAAATTTGGACTGGTTTCAGTAGAAGCTTCCAGACTTCCTGTGGATTCAGTGGAATCCCAGGTTGTGTAACTTTTACCATGTTGTGGTACAAGGGTAAGTTGCACAGCTGGGAGTTCCCCGATCGTTGCCTCGATATGCCTCTTTGCTCCAATTGATTTTTGCAATAGTTTTGCTACTGTAATTTAACAATTTTCTTAAAAAGCAAATAAGATTTAAAATGTTTTACCTAAACTAAATTGGAAATTGAGCAAAATTTATATGCACAAAGAGAGAAAATGACAAGATCTTCATACCTGCAGATGTAGTGTGTGCTGGAGTGAGGCTCACACTCTCCTCCATGTTTACATTCAATACCGTCACAAGATCCCACCTGTAAATAGACGTGTTGATGTTTATACTGTACTTTATGCAGTCATATTTCTACTATACCACACAGCACAAATCTCTTAAGTAGTTCAACTTATTGACCAGACCACACACTAGAAATTGAAGGGACGACGACGTTTCAATCGTTTCGACACAATCGACTTGAGAATGGTCCAGGACGGACCGAAACGTCGTCGTCCCTTCAATTTCTAGTGTGTGGTCTGGTCAACATACTTCAGCCACGTTATTGTGACTCATCGCCTGCATAGTTCAACTTACTAAAACCAGTTTATATTATTGTTGGTAGTAAATTCTGTAAATATCCACTGTACTGTACAGAGTTCCCTAAGGTGCTCTGAGAGTTGTGTTTTTTTTTTAATTAGGCTATATTTTAATGTTTTTAATGTGTTCATCACTCTGTGTTTTGAAATGAAAATGGTTGAGTTTGGAAACATTTTGACATTAACGTTACCTGAACATTTATAAAACAACAAAAATGTGTCTTTGACAATTGCACTATGAAGCTTTTGCCAAAACCAGGTGTGCAGTGCAGTGGAGATACCATTTTTAACATTTATCATTAAAGCTTAATCTAAAATAAAGACATTTATATTCTTTAGCATGAAGCATCCAGAGAAGTCAGTAATTATCTGAAGAAGGTACTAAGCCAAGTAGTGTCTAGAAAGCTGTGTACAGCATCATTATTAAATTTCTGTCTTTTTATATCGACTGTATCGTGTACAAATTAATTTAAATTTCAAAGTATAACCCCAAAAATATACTACCTGTATTTAAAAAAAAAACTCAAACACTTCAATTAAAAAAAAAAAAAAACAATCTGGAAAAGTGAGTTGGAAGGACAGGAAGGGGGGGAGATGTGTAACTGGTTTCCTGTCTATACTGTGGTCACTAGAGATGGAGGCCACTGGTTGGGTAATTGTGCTTTCTCTAAATTCTTGTATAGCAGTATATTCTGGGAAAATCTGAGTTACAAGTACTGTACAGTACAGTACAGATACGAGAAGCAAAATTAAAAAAAAATGTAGCAGCAGCCCTGTTTGGCTGCAGGGATTGTTTTGTTTGGAGTTAGGTTTGTGGGCAGATACTGGAATCAAGTATCAAGATACTGGTTATTACTGCCATAAATATACATATACAAGTATACGTGTATTCATCTGGTTGTGTGTATATGGTGTGTGTTGTCACCATTCTTGTAATGACTCAGAGAGCATTATGAGGAGGTATTTTTAAGTTTTGCCCTCTTTGATTGTGGGGATGATTCTACATTGTTTACATTGAAAGTTTGCAGTATTACCACTGTATGCCGTTGCCACCTTCACTACCTGAGCTTTGACGAATACAATTTTATTCTTACCGCTATACATTTTCCTACTGTAGCTGAAGATTCACTAAACCCTACTTGGCATAAGCATGTTGCAGAATTGTTGTATGAAGTACAGAGTTGTGGACACGTTGTTAAGGCACAAATATCTCGTCCTGGAATACAACCATTTTCACATAATAATTTAAAGATAAATTTTTAGCCACAATTTAATGTTCTTATTATTTGTTGGAGTAAATTGTGCTGTCCATGCCTATGTACATGCCTGTCAGTAGATACTGATATCAAGTATTCTTTGAATAGATTCCTAAGATGTAATATATTTGGCTGATAAAAAAAGAGAGAGATACTAACTTTTGCTTCTACCTTTTATTTCAGGTAACAAATAATTGGCAAAATATTACAGCATTTGTAAAATTAAATATTTTTGTTCTATTCATATTAAAAGAATTTACTATATAAATACAATAAACCACCACAATGAAACAAAATCAAATACTCTTATCAAGAAGCCCTTTTTGCCATTCAAAACTTAAGATGATTATAAATGCACCCTTTGACACACACACACGCTCACATTAACATGAAGTAACTTACCAATACTCATGACTGGAGGGACAACAGCCAAGGCCTTGGCAGGTGAAGTTAAGGTCCTGGAGTTGCATACACTTGCATCCATCTTGCTACAGCGGACAGCTTCATGACCTCCCAGATTAATCCACATGACCCAATCACCAGTCAATGACAAACTAATGGGCGAGTGAACCTAAATACAAGAAATTTACACCATTTTATGAAATAAAATAATGGAAACCTTGAATTTGTTAGTATAATTTTTAAATATTCAATAGCTTGGTAACTTTTTCTCAATATAACTAAACTGAAATTTAACCTATGGTACAGTATAGCCTTCAAATTGATATTATTATTGTTTTATTAAAGTACACTAAAGTGCCAAAATTTAATTAGTTAGATCAAAGTTAAACAACGAACTTGCCCTGTTCTCCTGGACAATACGGTGTTTGCTACCTTCCCATGAGACTGACTCGATAGTGTTAAGAGCAGTGTCCGTCCAATAAACTCTCTCTTTCGCTTCATCAACTGCCACTGATCCACACCGCACCATCTGTAAAATATTTGCAGGAAAAAATTTGTTATCTGGAAGCTACACAAAATGAGAGAGACATATTCCATGTGAAAGCTGAAATAAAAATTTGTCAGATATACCTTGTCTTTCCAGAGCACTTTCTTATTCTGACCATCCAAGAGGGAAACTAAAATCTCTGATCGGTCTTCATGGCCAAGATAATTAGTACAAAAGAACAGAAGACGTTCATTGGTAGCCACACGAGTCGATGGAATCTCAACATTAAATGCTTTGAAGATCAGACTACACTGACCATTTGTTACACCACAAACCTATACAGGAAGAAATGCACAGATTCTGTGAATTTAACTCTGAATATTAAATGGCTGCGATTAGTTCAGTTGATGAGCCCAGATCATGAATTGATAACTCAACTTAGTTTTTTCTATACTGTATTTTCAAACAAAATGCAGAAATCATTTCAAACTGAATTTAAATAATATTTCATAACTAGCCTATATGAAATTATAAAGTGAAAAAAGTGAGGTTTCAGTTAATCACTTAAATTTTTTCAGTTTTATTTGCATTACAAAATAAAATATTGTCCATTCACTTACTAATATGAAAGAATATACATTCTTAAAATTTATTTCTCCACTTCTCTTCACTACTCTGGCATCTTGTGGCACAAGTGGCCTCTGGGCATGAAAGGATTCAGAAAAATAAATATTTTGCGTTGTAGGGTCAAATGAGAGACCCTGAGGCTTCTTCCTCTTAGTGAGGAGGACCTTGTGATCAGTGCTGCCATCATGGCCACTGGGAAGGCTTACCGTTCCCACAACACCTTGCAGCGCTGTCAGAATAATGATACTAAAATCAAGATTATTGTAAACCTTTTAATTATTTACATCTGCCAATTACACTACTGTACATGTGTTAGTTAAATGTTGTTTACTATTAAACACTTAAGTGGTAGAGTACAGTCAGTAACATGGCAGTAATGAAGCAAACAAGGGGCTGCCCAGTGTTGTTTGGGGCCCTGAATCACTGGCTTACTCTGCTCGCACCTAAGAATCACTGATCTTGACTGCATATAGAAAAATTAACACTATGCTTACATAATTCATTTTTTGTATGTAATGTAAACAAGGCAAACATTACAGTACTGTATAGCCACTTACTATCAGTATAGAGGAAGTTATTCTCAAGAGGATTGTGCTCCAGTGAGTTAATGTTGATCCACTCTGGTATCTTCATCTTGTTTACTATCTGATAACTATGGCTCAGGTTTACTAGGAGACCTGGCCATGCCATCACCATCCATTCCTCACCAGCTTTAATATTTATCAAAGAAATATAACGTTACAACATTATAACCACTTCATAGTACACATATACTTGCACACACACACAAACCGAAGTCCTGTGTGTACTTCATTACACACAGAAATCACAATAGCGTGATGCATCTGATGCATCAAATGAACAATTCTGTGTGTAATGAAGTAAGGGCGAAGAGGTAGAATAGTTTGTTTACAGAGTTCGGGTGCATGGGGAAATTGTGTAAAACCCTGGTTTGTGTCTCGGAGAGACTGCAGGATCAGTGTGAGGTCAGTAGAACTCCCGGTTGCAATTCTTTTACCATGTCGTGGCACAATCGATTAAGGTGCGTCTGGGATCCTTTCGGACGTAGGTTCGAACCCTGATCACGGCCCTTGTGGATTTATTCATTTGATGCATCACCCTATTGTGATTTCTGTGTGTAACCTTTTCTTGTTCCCTACATTTTGTCATCTATTGACACTCAGCCCTAGCTTCCTTACTTTAACTTTAATGGCTAATTAAACAAACCCCATGCATATTGTTAAAGCATGTATTCACACGTTGTCTTGGGAACAGTGAAAAATAACTGCCAATGCAAGATAAATTGATGTTAAAGATGGTCTTATGCGTACACTTAAATAATTGTTGCTCGTGTCATGTAAATGTTTATGCAAATAATTAATCACTATGAAATTAATTTCCTATTTTTCGATTAATATTACTCTCTCATAAATAAATAGTTGGTGCAGGTTTTGCATGAGATAATAATAAACTAATAATCCAAAGTATGTTTATAAATACCTTCAAGCTTGCAGGTTTTGCCATCAGGTCGTAATTCATAGCCCGGTTTGCATGAGCAATAATACGAACCCCTCAGCTCATGGCAGTAATGGCTACAGTGTGCTTCGTCTTTGCACTCCTTTATATCCTGTTAACAACAAATGTAACCATAATGCTGTGTACACATCTCAAAATGTCTATTTAATTATGTTCAAAGATAAAACAAATTTGACTGACAAGTTCTGAGAAGCTATTTTTTTTAATCAATCTAATTTCTACTAAGTGAACACCATTACACAAGAAAGCAGAAATACAAGTCTACTCATTTGAAATAAACATACTGGAGCAATTGCAAAAGATTAAAGCTGAAAGGACAATACCACCAAAAAATAAGGACAATGGAATAATGTTATTCATAATGGAGGCAAATCATAGGTGTGACAAATGCAGGCAGTGGAGAAGATGCAGCAACCAACCGAGCAGAGTTCCAGTGTGCAAGTTAACCAAAGACAACATACATCAGTGGGAGAAAATTTACCAAACCCCCACACCCCCCTTCCCTAAGGTTTCCTATAGTGGCACTTCCATGACTGTTTTATTTTATTCACTCTGTAAAGCTCTGCACAGTCATCTGCCAAATAATAATCATTAGTGAAGGAGCAGGGAAAGAAAGGGAAGGGAAGGGGGGGGGGGGGGGGCGAATATTAGTCAGATCCTCTTATTACAGTAACAGGCATTGGAATAGAATTTGACACCAGGACAATTCAATGATAGTCATTTCAATGTAAATAAAAATAACAAGGGAAGGGAACTATCAGGGGGAAATGCCAAGCCATTACAACTATATAGCACTTAGAAGGGTGCAAGATAATGATTTGGGATGGGGCACGGAAAAGCAATGGTGCCCAACCACTTGGACAGTTGGGATTGAACGCCGACCTGCATGATGCGAGACCATTGCTCTACCATCCAGCCCAAGTGGTTGGACGGTAGAACGATGTTGATAGCAGGTGTAAACACAATTTTAATGCCCATATACCACCATGGTAGACAGTCTGCAGGTGTGAAGAAGTCTTCATGTTTCTAAGCATGGAAACATCAACTTCAGGACACATCTGCTTTGGAGAAAGTTCAACATTGGGCAATAAAAATCCTCCCAGAACTAAGTTGACTCATATCAGGAATAGTTGAGGGCCATAAAACTAACACTGCAAACTAGGCATGACAGGGTTGATCATCAAAAATTAAAATACTGTACTAAGCAATTTGGAGGATATTTACCCCAAACCACTTCTTTAAAAAGATTAGATAATTTTAATTATAATTAATTTTGTCAGGGACAGACAGCTTGTACACACACAGACACATACATACATACATTAGGCCCCCCACCCATCCCCAAGGTCAAACTACTGACAGTCTTCAGGATACAACTTCACAACAGTTGACTGGGTATCTATTTACTGCTAGGTGAACTGAGACAAAGGGTGAAAGGAAACATGCCCACCATTTCTATCCCACCTGGTATTCAGATCTGGGATTCCCAACTGCGAGTTGAGAACGAACCCAACTTTACTACCAAGACCTTAATGTTAACACAGACAAGACTAGGGGAGGAGGGGAGGGCCACCAGCTTGCTGGTGGCTTGTCAAAGCCACCAGCAAGATGGTGGCCGTTGGGTAAATTCAGGAAAACACTGTACAGTACATAACTCGTCTGCTAGATAATAAAAGGCAATACAAATTACCCACAATGTTAAGTTATTTAACTGGCAGGTAATTTAAGTTTATTAAGTGACAACTTTAAACCTCATTTTGAACTACAATCGACAATATGAACTAAGTAAAAATAATTTATTTTACATGCTAGAAAACTAGAAGACTGATCATTCGTGAGAATACCAGTTCTAAACAGTGGCCACTTACCACACAATCAGCACCATTGGGAGCAAGTGTGTAGCCCTGGTGGCAGGAGCACCGATGACCCACAGGGCTGGGATGACATATATGCTGACATCCACCATTATTTCTACAGCTTTCTTCTACAAGAGATCAGTATTGCAGCTTATCTTAGTTAGTAACACTATTAAGTAATACAAGTGGATCGCATGATAAATTTTCCGCAAGTGGCAAGATGGATAAGGTTTTGAACAGACTGGCAGAGAATACATTTTAACAGGATTGTATATAATGCATGCATACAAGATGATTTGCTCAAATACTTATATAGTTCAAAATACTTACGTGTATTTGGATTCCCTCCAGTATTCAAATATTAGCCAATTTACTTTTAAAGTACAGTATTTCCTATATATACATTCTATAAATACCTATCACCCCCCTTACATTAGCAATTACTACAATAAACTGCAACCAACATGCAGCACCTTTACTTGAATCCTTGATTGTACTATAAAGAAAAACACTACATACACATGCAAGTAATTACCTAAGTGTAGTTACATGATGAGAGCTACGCTCGTGGTGTCCCGCCTTTCCAGCATTCTGTCATATAACATTTTAAATTACTGATGGTATTGGCCTCTACCACCTTCTCTTTTAACTTGTTCCAACCGTCTACCATTCAGTTTGCGAAAGTGAATTTTCTTATATTACTTTGGCAGCTTTTGTTTAGGTAGTTCAAATCTATGACCTCTTGTTCTTGAAGTTCCAGGCCTCGGGAATTCTTCCCTATCAATTTTATCAATTCCGTTACTATTTTGTACATAGTGATCATATCGTCTCTTTTTCTTCTACAGTATCTTCTAGTTTTGGCATATTTAATGCCTCTAACCTCTCCTCACAGCTCTTAGTCCTTCAGTTCTGGGAGCCATTTAATTGCATGTCTTTGCACCTTTTCCAGTTTGGTAATGTGCTTCTGAAGATATGGGCACCATACAACCGCTGAATATTCCAGTTTGGTCAAACAAAAGTCGTAAACAATTTCTTTAGTATTTCACCATCCATCTATTTAAAAGCAATTCTGAAGTTAGAAATTGTAGCATAGCCCCTCACACAATGTTCTTTATGTGATCCTCAGGTGACAGGTTTCTATCTAGAACCACCCCTAGATCTCTTTCTTTATCAGAATTCTTTAAAGATTTCTCACATAATTTATAGGCTGGCAATATAATTTATAGGTGTGTGTGCGGGTATGCACATGCATGTAGGACCATATCTACATCCTTAAATCTTTGAAGTGCAATACTAATTCTGACTTCAAACAGTTCTGAGAATGCTGCAAGAAAACCAACAGACATCACAGAAGCAGCAAATATATATATTGATATTCCAAGAGCTTGACCCAACCAGAACAATAACACAGGAACATACAAATACAGTAGTTTTAAATTATGTAAATCCTCCTAAATGCAATAAAATGCTGTACTTCTTTTAAATTGGAATAAAGAGGAACCAAGAATTTATATTCAAACCCTCCTCACAATTTCTATAAATACAACTATTATTATTATTACAGTTTTTACTTTAAGTGTAAGGCAACATTTGGTAGGTCAATTATATTTACAATGAAAAAGCAGCAAGTCAAGAATGCTGCCTTAGGGAATGCCAATACTAATTACCACTGTTGGAGTCAAGCTGCTTAGATCAAGTAACTAGGTAGGATATTAGTCTACAGGTGAAGTTAGTAGAAGCTTGAGACTTATGAACTGGGGTTACTTTGGCTTCAAGAATATCCGGAAAGGCTTCGAGTTTCTAGCAATTTATTGTAGCATTAAGCTATTGTTGGTGCAAACACAAATACACTATCATATATTAAGGTTGGAATTTCAGATTGGTGACTGCTTAGGGTTTATCCAGACACATTATAACATCTGGAGAATTGATCGAGAATAGATGCAAGAAACTGGGATAGTTGCCACTAAGATACATAATCACCTATACATATTGGTTTGTGTTACTGGCAACTTGTTTATATATTAAGCAAAAACCATTATTAACATCAATGATGGCCACCATAGTTATTCCATTTCTCAAAAGCTGTCATTTGGAAGATACAAGCCACAAAATGAACAGAGCATGTTAAATTATCTAAGCACAAATACATGCATATTTTAAGCAATTGGGATCAATTTCTTATAATAGGCAAAATATTAGTTTAAAAAATCAAGTTCCAGGAAATTTAGCTTTTCAGGAAACTTTGGGCATAATAGATTTCAAAGTGGCCACAAGGGTTATAATACAGCAAGAAAGTAACAAGTCACAATGACTTTCAAAATATAAAGTGAGAACACATTCAAGTTATCCCGATACAGTACTTATCATAGTCAGTGGAAAACTAATATGTATCTACATAATGGATAATTAATAAAGTTTAATCCCTACAAGAAAACTACTTCCAGCTAAGTACACAACTAACCGATTTATTGAAACTAATCTGTTAGGATCATTTAAAACATTTAAGGTATTATAATTTTGATACTTGCTACACCAGCTTCCCTCATCAGAGCCATCAATGCAGTCAGCAGTAGCGTCGCAAACCTTCCTATTCTCCACACAGTCCCCAATGCTGCACAGAAACTCCGTCTCGCCACAAATTCTTTCAGACGATGTCCCACCTGCCCACCAAAATCTACTTTTATTCATTTTTCAAACCAGTGTTTTGTGCTAGAATACTGCCTCTGAAATTCTCTTTTGCATGATATACTTTTTAAAATCAACAAACATTTATCAAATTTCCCATTCAAACATCCTGACAAAGTAAATCATTAAGTTTGCCTTTTCATTTCAGAAAAATAAAACACTCACGTAAATAGTTCCCACCGAGTACAGACAAGGAAGTGTTAGACATTTTGCAATTGGCATCAGGGCCTTCATCTGATCCATCTTGGCAGTCCTCCTCACCGTCACACACCCACCTGACCAATATAAAATCTTCACTACCCTTCCTCCCTCTTTCCACTAGCATTTATTGTGGAAGTGCTTGGCCTTCAGAGGAGTGAAAATAAACATAAATGGGACCACCAACTCATTCCCTTTGCCCTTGCATCGAGTACCGTATTTGGACTTTTTGTAAACTAAATAAATTATAAATGTACAATTATTAAGCAATATTTTTTATTTGATTAATTTAACTTAAAATCTATCAAACTAAACCAAACCCAACCCATCCTGAGCCTAGGTCAATAATATATACAGTACTGTTTTGACACAGAACAAGCTTTGTTGAAACGCCTTTGTACGCTTTTATCATACCACAAAAATATATTGAAAATTCAGACCTGTAATCCCACTATGAAGCCTTAAAATATTGTTATTTAACCCTTGCACTGCTCACCTATTTTCGGCAAAAACGTCTTGGTGCCATTGTCAAGGACATATTTTTGTTATTTTTACAAATGTTCAGGTAAATTTAATGTCAAAATGTTTCCAAAGTCAACTATTTCCATTTCAAAACACAAATAGTAATGAAAACATTAAAAAACATTAAAATATAGCCAAATTAAAAAACAAAAAGCACAACTCTCTGAGCGCCTAAAGGCGCTTTGCGCAGTGCAGTGGTTAAGCAAAGTCTTCCATGAAGTAATACTAACCTCAATGGAATGCAACGATCCGTTCTGTGACAATGAAACTCATATTGTGAACACCACGTACAGTCCTCATCATCCTCCTGAGGACAGTCCCGCTTACCATCGCACCTGGGACCAGGAATTTTTATTAGACAAACTTGCACCAAGACAAACAGTGTAGTAAAGTGAACATTTTACATATTTCATATGTACAGTATTCAGAATTCATCATCTTATTAAACACCAGACTAAACTTGATATGAACACAGTACTTTACTTATATTGCAATCCATTTACATCTTTGTACAGTTTCAAGGCTGCAAGATATGATGATACTACAGCTTTACCCATCACTATTTTACCGATGTGAAATATTTACTAGATAAATTTGATGCTTGGAATTTCCTTTTCTGAAAGGATAAATATTAAAGCACTTCCCATCTTTAATGGTGCTGATAGCTAAGCAATATTTTAGTTATATATCTTCTTGAATTACAGTCAAAAGAAGATATAAGTATCTTTTACATTGCTGATTTAGGTAGTTTTTTTAAATATTAAATTAATGATGCTGAAGATATCATTAATAAACTTGAACAACTTACACAGCAGTGCTTGGGATGCATATTGGTTCAAGTTGTGAAGGGCTGAGAGCACACATTACATGGCCACTAGGGCACACCACTGGCAAGTTAGGAGGTATGACTGAACATTTTGTGGGGCTCTCATCAGACCCATCGGCACAATCTGGGTCACCATCACATGTCACATACAGTGGGACACATTGCTTGTTGCTGCACATGAATTCTCCCACCTTGCAGTTTACTGCAATGTGAAAAATAGAAAGTTTAATTATACTATTTAAAATGATAAGCATAATGATGACTTCAAAATAATTATTGACAACTCACAACTTTGTTCACAGTTGTTGAACATCCTCCCAGTGTAAGAAATATTTCCAAAACAAATATGCACATCTTTAAGAGAAAAGTGAATAGTTTTCTTCAAGAAGTGCTGGACCAACTGGGCTGTAGTAGATATGTAGGTCTGCAGGCTGCTCCAAGCAACAGCTTATTGGACCAAGTAGGTGTTACAGATATCTACTTCAATGTGTATTGAAGTAGGAGGCATCAGAGGTAGAACTATTTGGTTGACAGAGCCCGAGTGCATAGGGGAATTGTGTGAAACCCCGGCTAGGCTTCAGTGGAAGCCTCGGGATCCTCGTGGGGGCTGTAGCACTCCAGGTTGCAATTTTTTTTTTACTGTCGTAGTATACAGTTGACTAGAGAGTGTCTGGGAACATCCACCGCATAGGTTCGAACCCTCATCAAAGCCCTTGTGGATTTGTTCACTCGATACATCACATTATTGTGATTTGTTTGTGAAACCCCCTCATTCTAATGCTGCTTTATATCACATGCACTTGCAGGTAACGTTAACTTTCTAATTTTCTAATCCCATTTTAAGATAAGATTCTTCACGAATAAATATCTTTTAAATTTATGGCAATTAAAATGTGCTTTAGTTATACACTGTCCCTCCCACAAGAGTAACGCTCACCTGGGCAGTCTTGCTCATCAGAGCCATCTGTGCAGTCCTCGCCTCCGTCACACTGCCACAAAGATGGTATGCAGGTCCCTGAAACAGCAGTAGTTGTACTTTCACAAATTTAACACATTTTTCATTATTATTATTACTTGATAGTTCTATTAAATGTAAATTTTTTGATGTAGAAGTAGTGCACATGTTAGAATTATTATATAAATGTCTTAATTTGATATTCATGTAGGTGTATGACACGATTATATAATGTTTCTTTGGTTGTTTAATGTATACATGGAAGGGATCATGAAGGAGAGCATGGTGAAAATATTAAGAAAGGTGTTAAGCTAATGTATAGCTATAATATGAGTGAAGTACATACAATTTTACACACATTATGTAAATGACACTTATTTTAAGGAAGAAGAATTGACAAATTCATTGGTGTCGGAAAAGCTTGAAAAAGAGGAAAATCTATGCGAAGTAAATGTGAAAGACAATACCGATACTGTACTCACCATCCTTACAGGTGAACTTGTGAGGAGGACATGACATTGTGCAGTTGATCTCGTCTGAGCCATCCGGACACTCTGCTCTCCCATCACACAACCACATATGTGGGATGCATTCCCCCGACGTGCACTGCCACTGTGCTGACAAAATCAGTCATGGGAATATTTATAGGGAACCTAATGTGTGTGTACATTTTTAAGTGAAATGTATATTACCTAAGATAGATCCAATCAATAATGCTTGTCTCTCTTGGTAATCTATAGATTTCCTTAAAATATATATAATATTTTTTAGATAAAGTTAGGTGATCTTATTCACTCAGCAGGATACATAATTGCAATTACTAAAGGTTCATCTAACATTAAAACCCTACCACTCCTGCAGGTAACATTTGTACAGTATTCTGGATTCTCATCCGAACCATCATCACAGTCATGGACACCATCACATCTCCAAGTTTTATCTATACAGTTGCCAGAAGAGCACTGGAATGAAAATTCATCACAATTCTTGACGATGACCTCACAGTCCTGCTCGTCACTACCTCCTTCACAATCCACAGTACCGTCACATCTGCCAAAACAATGACCAAAAAATGTTTAGTTATTTCCATGGATAGCTGCTATGCACTTTCATATTGTAAACAATAGTGTAAAAAAAAAGACAGTCTTAATCAGTGCACTATGAGTAACAAAATGCAATGACATTTCTGCCATCAGCATCAAATGTTCTTACATTCAGGTACCCCTTACCAATGCCTGTGGATTTTCTAGCTCTTCCCCCCTGCATAACACCCGAGCCCAGATCATTCCCAACAAAAATGCCCACCGACAAGCTTATACATTCTCACATCTCATCCCTCCAGTTAGACACCACCATCACAGATGACTACAACTTTGAGCTATAACACACAGGCTGGGCACACATTCATCAGTCAGCCAGATTCCTAGACAAAATATTCCTTGTGAGGAGATAGTATTCCTTCACATCTGTGGGAAGAGACAGAATCTGCGTAGCTCATTGCTGCTTCTCCAACATCTGCAATATACTGAGGTGTTACAGACATCTGCACTTCCCAGGATGAAGCTGCTTCTCCTTGACTAATCTGCAAGCAGCACTGGACCACACAGTGTTGATGGACAAGTATACATGTCCACAGGATGACTAGCAGAATCAGTTCCACTACAGCCAGCTTAAAATAACATCTCTGCTGACCTGTCTCAACCCTGCCATCTCACTACACACACTGCCTTCAGTCTCACCTTACTACTAACTGTAACCTACATACAAAATATATACTGGTATATATATTGTTGACCACTATTGTGTCTGTAATATCCTTCTGTCCTTTTGTAGTCAAATCACCTACAACATAGATCTTATATTTAAGTTAATTACTGTTGTATTAGATAATCACAATAATGTACCATTAACAAGATTTGCTGTTCAGTTGAAAGCAGAGCAATAATTGCCTTTCCTAATAACTACCCAAGTAAATGCAAGGTTTTGTTTGCAGGATGTTTGTTTTCTCAAAGATTTTTCCCACTTTCTTCCCTTGACTACATTAAAGGACCATTAGTGAAGATCCCTGTCAAGGAGGACAGAGCCTCAGATGCTTTGTGGTCTAGTTGGACAATACTGTACCACAAGGCACCTGAGGCTCTGTCCACCTTGACAGGAATCGTCACTAATGGGCCTTCTGTGTAGTCAAGGGCAGAAAGTGAGAAAATTCCCTAGGTCACCTGAGAAAATTTGTTTGAACAAATTCAAGAACTTGCCTCCATCTGGCTGGAATGCAACTAGGAGATCCTGAGCACAGGAACCGATCACCATGACACTTGGTCCTCAGGCAAGTAAAGCCATCTTCTGATAGTTCAAAGCCAAGTGCACATGCACAGACCTGTCAACAGAAAACATTTAAATCTTTTTCATAAAAAATGGTACAGTATTTGATAACCCTGAGGAAAATCTTTTGAACTATTTCAACAATGAATGTTCTGATTAGTTGTCATATTAGTCTCTGGTTGCATAGTAAACTTGCATAAACATGATGAGTTATTAGTATTTCATTAATGAAATGACATGCACTATACTTCTACCAGTACAGTATACTGTACATCAAACAAATTTTATATCCCTATTTTGATCAAAACACCTCACACTCAAGTGATACACATTTAAAAGAATCTAGCAATTTGTTCCCGAAGTGCAGGAATAGGTACACCATTATTTTACCTGAAAAGGACTTAACGAATTTGACAGCAAACCAAATAAATACTTTACTGACCTTATTACTCATGCCATTACCAAGGCAAAGTTGAGAGCACTTGCCATTACGGTGTGTACAGGGATGATCGAGTGTTGCTGCCGCTGGCACCTCCCACCTGACCTCTCCTAACTTGAAGATTCTCTCCTTACTCTCAGAAAGTCCAGTCCCTTCAGGATAAGTGTAATATTCTAGTTTATTTCAAAACAGGTTCAGCATTAGCATTTCTTATATATGTAGTCAGATGATCATAACTATTTTATTACAACTATTTATGGGGATTAATGCATTTTTTATTTTTTTACTTTTCTAGAGGCCAATGAATTTTAAATATAATAAATACGTATGCAATATAACAAATACTGTAGATAGGCATAAAGTATGGGGGGGGAGGGGCATTGTCTACAAAGTATTTTAAGCATTTTATTAATGACTATAGAAAACAATTGATGCAGCCCAGCCTCACCCTAGTGTCTTATACACTATGTACTGTAATCATTATGTGAATTCAAATTCTGTTATTATATACAGGTACCTGTTATTATTATTATTATTATTATTATTATATTATTATTATTATTATATTATTATTATTATTGTTATAATAATAATAAATAATAATAATAATAATTTTTATTTACAGAAAAGTACAATAGGTTTGAGAGATTACATAAGACTGGTATTTTTACATTCTTGCAAAGCCACTAACACGCATAGTGTTCTGGGCAGTTTAAATAATTATGCTGAATTTATTGTTGTTTTCAAGATTGACTATTTCACCTTTAGTTTTAAATTCACTGCAAATTCTGTGTTTAGCTTTAGAATCAGTGTGAAATGCTGTGTGTGTTAGTGGCTTTGCAACAATGTACTAATTGATCACCAACATATATATATATACTTTAACAACCCAATGTACCTTCTTGTATATAAAATATAAATAAATTCAAACTTTTTCTGGAACACAGTTTTCATATACAGTACTGTACTTTATAATTCTCAAATTCTTGAAGACATTAACTTACCTAGTATTTTGATCTGAGCAGACTCGTTATCAGTTTTAGACGAAATGAACAAATAATCAGTGTCCTTCTGGGTCCACATAACGTGGACACCTGTCACCAACAATGAAACTGGCTCATGAAGATGATCCTGTAATTTTTGCCTGTCAGAACCATCTGCAGCTACACTCTCAATACGGCCCAGCCGTAGGTCACACCAATACAGCCTTTCTGCAATCATTTTTTATTTTATTTATTTATACATTTATATATAAAAAAGAGTTCTTACATTCTTTTACAGCCACTAGATGCATAGCATTTCGGGCAAGTCCTTAATCTTAATTTTCCCCAGAATATGACCTGTCAAATCATTTAACAACCAGGTACCCATTCACTGCTGGCTGAATTTTTTTTATTTGAAGAAATTAAAACTCAAAATGCCTATTTAAAAATATGCTCAAGTTAGTGGGTTGCAAATTTGGGATAAGGAGTAGTTTAACCATAGAAGCTCCCTTGGAATTTCAGCTATTAAAACAAAACTTTTAACATATTATTCTTATTGCACGTCTTGCTACTTAAAATGTGTGGAAAACAACTTACGGTTCTCGGGATCTCTGTCAAATACTAGAGAGATTGGTTGAGCTAGAACACTGTCAACAATGGTCTCACACCCGGTGCCGTCCAAGCCACACCGCAGGATGTGGCCACCACTGCCACAATCACTCACATACAAGTATCTGAATGCAAGCAAAGACAACTAATTAACCAAGGAACAAATATAAACTTCACTATGGCTTAGTAAAAGAATCATCTAAATAAAATTTTTAGGTTTACTGTATACAAAAAAAATGATTACTGGTACCTATAATTCCTAATTATCAAAGCCCAATTTAAAGTTGATTTCAAGGTTGGTTGAATAGTGCCCAAATTACTATGTATTATATAAAATACACTCAAGTATAATATAATACATATTTGCAGTAAGCTGTCAGACACTGCAGCCAAGCCTAGTCGGCTCTACTCTGCACACACGACCCAAAAACAACTGCACCCTTACTCTGTGATGACAATAACAAACTTGAATGGGGAATCCGAATTAACCAAATGCAGGCAACCCATCCTAGCTCAGCCGTGCTACCTCTTGCTGATCATGGTCTCGGCCATTGTTTAGTTACAAAATGAACATTTCAATATGTATATACAAGTACAGTGTTTAGCATTCTTGAGGAGCCTATGGGCTGTGAAAACATGCAGCATTTTTATACTTTAGGGATAAAATCTTATTACTTTAGCTGCCTGCTTTGGGATTATATAATATGAGGGAACTAGTTGTACAAATGAGATAGTTGCCAGTAACATAAGAAGGTTACCTATATTGGTTCATGTTGCTGGAAACCTACACGTACTGTATTTGCAATTTTTGTTCCAATCCCTGGGAAGAAAGCATTAAATTCAGTTGCAGTATCAGTAGCTGATAACACTATTCTACAATCTCCAGCAAGTTCAATCCGTTTATTAATTGACTTTTGATTTCTTCCCAAGACATGTAGGGTTTTCAGGTTTATCATATTGTTTAAAATTGAAATGTATTTTTGTAGTACTGTATAGTAATTTAATTTGGTTCTTATACTGAGCAGAATAAACAAACCATGCTGCAGATTTCATTAAAAATGCCAAACCTTCATCTTCAATAAAGTCTAGTCAGTTGTTCTACAGGTTTCGAAGTTGCCATACAAGACTGACTGACCCAAGGAGAGGTGCCAAGGTAATGTCAGAGGGTCGGTCAAGGTCGGCCACAACTTGTGCACGATAGACACCGTGATGTATACTCATGACCTCCACACCACGCTTTACCCCATCAACCCAGTACAGATTATTACGTAACCAGTCTGAAAAGTATTTGAGTTAAATTATAATAAATAATTTGCTTTCCAAATCTAAAATAAATTAGATAAATATGTTTAATAATTTCTTCCAGAGTGGTTCTGTGCAATATAGCACTTTAATAAGCTTACATTGTCAAGTAAATATCTAATCACTTAATACATATGAATTAATGTATTATAGTACAGTACAGGTATTTGTAATAAAAATTCCCTATGCTAAAGGAAACTTACTTGGCTATTCTATATCCTTGCCTGAAATGCTATGCATGTTAAGTGCCTTACAAGAATCCACAACTTTAATCACCAACTTATGTACTCTCACAATCCACTGCACCTTCTTGAGTATAAGTACTAAATGAATACTAATTAAATCATATATTCCCTTTAAAATAATCTACCCATAAAATATTTATTATTAGGCAACAAAATTTTACCCTGTAATGATACTGAATGTTAATATGAATTTTAGTAAAACTATTAAATTAGAACAATTGTTTTTAAATATATCAAAAGAATAGAAGAGCTTACCAACAGCAACACCAACAGCTCGTGCAACATTATTGACCATGGGTCTTGAAATGCTCTCTGTGATGGAGATGCCATAGATGGTGCTGTCCAACACATCACTCACCACTACCATGTCTAGTTGCAAATAACTTAGAATTCTGTAAATAACCTTCTTAATTATGTAAGCTTACTGCCAAGAAATTACAGCCAATGTATATTGTATACAGTACTGATAATGAAATATGTTAACTTTCTGTAAATTTTTAGCTTTTCTTTATATCTATACACTCCCGAACTTCCTCATTCTGTAGGCAATTAATTAATGGTTGATAATTATTAAATATTAATGGTTGATAATTAAAGCTTAAACATTAAAGTACAATATGTAAAATTAGCCATAACAATTTACCACAAATGAGAAATTGAAACATTTTGAATTACATATATAAATCTAGCACCTCTCAAATAAATATTAAATCATTTCAGTGTAAATGCATAAATCATTAAGTGTGTTTAGTGACAGTAACTGTGTACATCTGTCTAGTATATTCAAGACCAAAACCGGCTGCCTACCAAGGGAACCTAATACCCAAAATTAGGCAAATGTAGCAAAAATCTACATGCGATGGATTATATATATTTAGGATCTTTGTCAAGCAGAAATATCCCATTCAATTTTAATATGGAAATTACCACACCACCTTACTTGGATCTTTTATATTATAATGCTCTTTAAACTTGAATAAAACCTTTACAATTCAGAAGACATACATTCATTACAGGGGAATGGAACACACTTGTTCACAACATATGTAGTGTCAGAGCCTGTCTCAGTTATCACCTCTGATCCACATGGCATACTAACCTTGAGAAGGATCATAGTCAAGGTCCCCAATCTTACGCAGGATAATGTTGGGACGCCAGAGTGTGAGGCTACCCTGACCTATGTGCTGCGGGTTCCACCAGTACATCTGGTGTTCCCTCACAAGAACAGGATGAGTAATGTTCTTCATACCTAGAATAACAAATTATAAACAGCAATAAGAGATTTGTTATTCTTAACAATTACTAATGCACAGTAATTGTATGGAATTTATACACATTTTTTGGGCTGAAATGCTGTACTGTACACACTGATATTGCAGTTTAAAAAGCTAAATACCAGTACTTGTACATATATTTCTACTGTAATCATATATATTTTTATAATTAAATATATATACTAATTAAGTATTAAATAAAATGATGTGAATTTATGCCTACTCTTACCTACGCATGTGTGTAAATCTGAAGAAAGCCCCATGACGCCAAAAGGACAAGCACAGGTGTAGTTATGGGGTGAGGAAGGAGACAATAGACACAGGTGACTACACTTGCCATCACATGGGTTGGATCCCTGACAGATAAAATGCACGTCAACAAATTAAAATACTAAATTTAACAATGTTAATTATGCATTTTTTCTATAGTTTAGCAGTGTTCAGCTTCGTAATAAACACTGACCATGTCTTCAATGTTCCTTTCCTACCATTTACTGGCAGGAATATTACTTTTACCCAACAACTACTATGAGCAACATACAGTACAGTATAGTCATTAGTAACTAATGAGGTATGACCAACAATAATTAAACTTTACATTAAAATAAAAAAAATATCACTCCCTAAAATTCATTTCCACACCAAGCACTGGTAATAATTTGCCTCCCAGTGCCGCCAACTCCCTCACAGATCCCCCCAACCCCACTTTCTCACCAGCAGATGCCCCCCCCCCAACTCCACTTTGTTCCTGGCAGATGCCCCCTAACCCCACTTTGTTCCTGGCAGATGCCTCCCAACCCCACTTTGTTCCTGGCAGATGCCACCCCACCCAAACCCCACTTTGTTCCTGGCAGATGCCACCCCACCCAAACCCCACTTTGTTCCTGGCAGATGCCTCCCAACCCCACTTTGTTCCTGGCAGATGCCACCCCACCCAAACCCCACTTTGTTCCTGGCAGATGCCACCCCACCCAAACCCCACTTTGTTCCTGGCAGATGCCTCCCAATCCCACTTTGTTCCTGGCAGATGCCACCCCACCCAAACCCCACTTTGTTCCTGGCAGATGCCTCCCAACCTAACTTTGTTCCTAGCAAATGCCTCCCAGCCACACTTTCACATCACCGGCAGATGCCTCTTGACACCCGATATATACCTTTCATCGCCAGTTAGTGGTTAAGTTTTGTCTTCCAACAACTGTTTTGCCTAAACGGTTGCCACTGGCTGAAATATACCTTGTTCATTATTGAGCGATGATAAACACTCAAACTAAAGAACTTTTCGTTGCTGCTGCTCTTCAGGATGGAGAGAACCTGCTTGCCATTGCGCTTCAAGCATGAATGGATATAGTGGTGCTTTCTATCAGTCCAGTAGAGATACTCCTCCCAAATCTCAAGTCCATATGGTTGATCAATGGCAGCTTCTGCCAAATGCTGTCACAAACATCAACAGAAAATACTCCAATTTTATTTTGGCAGGAGAAATCACTTTCGTAAACTTATAAAAACTATGATTTCTATCTATAACAAAATAAGATTAGGCCACTGGTCCCATTTCAACTACATGTTTATTACAAACAAATAATTCAATCATGGTTTATATTTTGTGTTGCTAAAATTTACTCTACAAAATTTAGAGGGGTAATCAGGAAAAAGTAGACAAGTATTTTCACACAACAATAACCTTACCTTGCGGTCAGTGCCATTAGTGTTGACGGTGAAGACCTTGCCCTGCAGTTCATCCATCCAGTAAAGTCGGCCTGCTGGAAGGTCCAGTGCCAGCCCTTGAAGCGAGCTGGACCTCTCCCACACTAACACTTTCCTCTGTGACCCATCCATTCCTGCTCGCTCTATCAATGAATTGTTTCCATCTAACCAGTACATGAACCTAGAAACATACAATTCTCTTAACATTTCCAAAGAATAAATCAATCTGAAGGCAAGTCAAATTCCAAGGATGGCTTTATGTTTTTTTTTATAAATTTGTTCATTCCTACTGTCAGGGGACAAGAAATCTGTACCTATTTAACTGCTAGGTAAACAGCGGCATCAGGTGACAGGAAACATGTACAACCATTTCTGTCCCCGCTTGTGGAATGAACCCGGGGTACTTTGATTGTGAGCTAAGGACATAACCAATATGCTACAGATTTTTACATGGAATACAATATGCACATTTATTGATATTAAGTGTACCTGTATATCATTTGTAATACAGTAATAATGAATATAGGATATAGGGAAACATTGAATGCACCACAACCAATCGAAAACAAATCTGTCAGTGTTAAGTACTTTTATAGCATACCTGTTTTTAATGTCGAGCTGAAGACATCTTGGGTCACTTCCCTGTTCACCGATAAGTACATCACAGGCAGTGCCATCCATGGAGCACACCAATATATGATGCTTAACAGTGTCCACTATATACAGATTCCTCCCCATCCAGTCAACAGCAAGGCTCTCGGCCAGTCCAATACCTACCACAGAATCCTACGTTACACACTATTAGATCAGTTGAATTAATGCCATTTAACCTTTTATCAAATTCGTTTGACAATTAAACAGCATCATCCCACAACCTTTATTAACAACAACTGAAGGGGCACGTAGAGGACGCAGAGGTGTGCTGTGGATGCCCTCAGGGTCGCTCCAGTATACTATGTGATCCAGTGGGTCATAAGCAACACCCAATGTCTGCAGAGGGTTAGAAAACACATTTTTTAACATACTAACAGTACAATAAGACAATATAATCCATACTATATCAAATCAATTCCTCACTATGGTACTAAATGTCCACTAATATATATTTTAACAAGAAATAGTAACTGCACTTTACTTTAATAGCAGAACTGTACATACCACTTTGTCTCCCCCAAACACCTGTGTGTAAGAGGTGTGGTCCAGACTGTATGATCTTATGCCATTGTCCACGGCTGCTAATAGGAACGCTCTGTCACGCTCTGGTAGGTATCAAAATGATGACCTCACTGATGAATATTTCCTATCTTCATATTTTATCTCACATCTTACATCTAAATTGTGCATTTATGCATTTTAATTACAGTTGTCTACATATTCTAGATTTGTGTACAATGGGGCAAGCCTAAGAATCATTGATGTGAACATATAAAAAATATTGGCAACTCTTTGCTTTCTTTTTAACCATAATTTTATACATTATTTTACCACCTATGTGCTTATAGTTTCTAGGTTAGTCTTTAGTGTTGCACCTTAAAAAAATAAAACATAAAAAAATTGGTTTATACTGTAAATAGTACTAGACTGGAGTTTATTCATTTGTGTAGTTGGTTATTTCCAAAAACATTGGCAACTTTGTTAGGCAGGATTATTTTAAGAAATTGTGTTGTAATGCTATTACAAATTTGTGCAAATGAGAGATGGATAAGTTTCCCATGCAGTTCTCTCCATGAGCTGGAGAAGTGAGGTCATGTTGATTGGTTGTTAGTTTTCTTCCTTCTAAGCACATATTAATGCCAAATAAATTCCACAAAATAATAATAATAAACTTTTGTACAGTAGATTATCAAAAGACTAGTAAAGCAAGAGACTAGACATGTATAATATTAACATAATATTGTATTTATATCAAAATAGAGATTCAGATTACAGTAGATACTTGGTAGGTACAGTATACATCTTATAAAGCCACTCTTTATGAGCAGCATAGAGTAAACATTTTTGAGTAATAATGCTTAATGTGAGACAAAACTGCAGCAAACAACCAAGCCAGTATAATAAATAGGTTTAGAATAAATAGCCAGGCAAATATTGCCAAATGCTTCAAATACTACTATTTTAGGCCCTATATTACAGCTTGCCTGCTTTGTCTTGGAGAGTTTGACAAAGCCAAATTGTTTGAAGCAGATAATGTAGGTTAGTTAATGCATATTATGACACTGTAACATACTCTTTGTCTTGCAGGTTACTCCATCTGTCTGCAGCTCATACCCTTCACCACACGTACACACGAAACTTCCATGGGTGTTGGTGCAGAAGTGGTCACAAACGCTCGTGTTGCTCTTACACTCGTTTACATCTGTCCAGGAAAGAATCCTGTCAAATTGCATTACAAGTATAACATCATAGAGCACTTAACAAGGTAATTGCCATACTGTACTGCTGTAATCAGAAGTGGTCCACTTGAGATGTGATAAAATTATCTTGCACAAAATTACTCGAGTCATAGAACCCAAAAAAAAAAGTTTAACTCAATTGATACTGAAGCCTTATGATTAAAGCAAGGAATTTCATTTCTACATCTGCCAGAAATGCTATGCGTGTTAGTGGCTTTGCAAGAATGCAAGTACACCAATGTTATGTACTCTCACAAACCTATTTTACCTTCTTGTATATAAATAAATAAATTAATAAATAAAATAAACATTACTGTACTTTCCTCTCAGTTTGCAAACTGTTCAGGTTCAAAGCCTCCTCATGACTTCTATTGATTTTATTATTCTTAGATCTACCTGATTGGTAGATTTATTTTTAAATACAATTTAGTATGCCTTCTCAGTTTGTCAGTAGTCAGCTACATGGGCTTTTAGTTTAGCAATTACCAAGTCATTTAGGATGACTGTATTAAAGAATATGAAGGTTGCATTATCAGCAAATAATACAAATAATAATAATATTAATTTATTTGCAAGAAGGTACAATGGGTTGGTGAGATTACACAAGACTGGTATTTTTACTTTCATGCAAAGCCACTAGCACGCATAGCATTTCGGGCAGATCCTTAATCTAACATATCAGTCAAGATGAAAGGGTACATTGTAGCAAGGTTTTTATATCAACAAATATACTACAATACAAGTTGACAGAGGTGATTACACTGGTAAGGATATGATTATCCTTACCAGTTCGGATTAGATTACACTGGTCTTAAGAAATAATAGTGGGAAAGTGGGTAGTAAAAGATACAGTGAGAGTTTGAAGCACAAGACAGGACACTACAAGGATGAAATTAGGTCCTTTTTTATTTTACTTTTGAACAGGGCATGGGTTGTAAATTTGTTTAATTCATCAGGGTGTGAATAGTAAGGTACTGTATTGGCTTAAGGTAATGTGTGGCATTGGGTAGATCAATGATGTACACCTGTACATTTGTCCATATGTATATGTGGTTAAGAGCTCAAGCAAATTTAAGAGTGCAAGTAACTTAAATTAATACTATGTTCATAAATTCATGTTATGCATGAAGATTACGAGAGGACCCTACATACAGTATTATATGTGGTTAGTGTGTGTGAAAGAACCATGCACATGGTTGACACTCACCACAGCTTTCTTCATCATCGCCATCAACACAGTCTTGTATACCATCACAAACTTGGTTGGTCACAAGACACTGACCACTATGGCATTCATATTGTTGAGCCTTGCATTTTCTAGCAACCTGAGGCCATTAAATTCAAGTAATAATGTAAATAATAAATATGAAGATGCAAGTCAGTTACTAATCCCATTGTAATGTTGACAGGAAGCCTAAGGGCTTATTGAAGTCCTCTAGCCAATGACCGACCCTTCCCACAGAAAGCAACCCTCAGTTGTCAAATATCGATGTACAATACAGTACCTCATTTAGTGTAGTAATATAGTAATTATATAATGCACAGAAATCTTTGATTATTATGCCATTACAGTAATATATTTGTATTAGCACAAGAAAAAAAAAATAATTAAAAACTGTCTACCATTATTTTACATGTATATGGTTCAATATGCTCTCCCATTCTTCAGAGATGCAGAAGCATAGAAAATTATAGGTAGGCATACCTGTCCCTGGTGACATAGGTCCTCATCAGAGTTATCAGGACAGTCTTTGTTGCCGTCACAAAGCCAGTACTTGGAGATACACTTGCCACTCTTACACTGGAACATCTGTGTCTTGTCACACACCACTGCCGGAAGGAAAGAAGCTTGTGTCACTGTAGTAACAAATATTACAAATTCCCCAAGTTGCTGAGGAGGAGGGCGCGCACTCCGTCTCCTCGAGAAGAGGAGGGCGCGCTTCCTCCTCGAGAGGAGGAGGAGGACGCGCTCTCCGTCTCCTAGAGAGGAGCAGGAGGTGGACGCGCTCTCCGTCTCCTAGAGAGAAGCAGGAGGCAGACGCGCTCTCCGTCTCCTAGAGAGGAGCAGGAGGCGGACGCACTCTCCGTCCCCTAGAGAGGAGGAGGAGGAGGAGGATGTTCTCTCCGTCTCCTCGAGAGGAGGAGGAGGAGGATGCTCTCTCCATCTCCTCGAGAGGAGGAGGAGGAGGAGGATGCTCTCTCCGTCTCCTCGAGAGGAGGAGGAGGAGGATGCTCTCTCCGTCTCCTTGAGAGGAGGAGGAGGAGGATGCTCTCTCCGTCTCCTCGAGAGGAGGAGGAGGAGAGACGCGCCCTCCATCTCCTCGAGAGGAGGAGGAGGAGGATGCTCTCTCCGTCTCCTCTCGAGGAGGAGGAGGAGAGACGCGCCCTCCATCTCCTCGAGAGGAGGAGGAAGAGAGACGCGCTCTCCGTCTCCTTGAGAGGAGGAGGATGAGCTCTCCATCTCCTCGAGAGGAGGAGGAGGAGGAGGACACGCTATCCGTCTCAAGAGGAGGAGGACGCGCTCTCCGACTCCTCGAGAGGAGGAGGACGTGCATCTTCTCCGAAAGGATACAATCCATCAAAACGAGAAAAGGCTACAATGCATCGAGTTCTCAAGAGGAAGGTGTGATCTACCAAGCCATCAAGAGAAGACTGGAGGAAAGAGGAGGAGCTTAGAATGCAATAAAAGTACAGTATTATTCAAATCCCTCTACCCAGTTACATCGTTCACCCCCCCCCCCCCTCTTCCCCTGTATCCAGTAGGGTGCATCTTTTCTTCCCCTTATCCAGCTGCATCAATCATTCACTGCCCCCAATTCAGTTACGTGCATCATTCACACACTCATGCCCTACTTTCAGTCACCCCTTCAGTAGTGTGCACCACCCATGGACCCCATACCTGTGGCCACGCATGTCCCCACTGGGCCCTCTTGTACTAGTCTCCCAGAGCCCCTCTATCTACAGCACGGCCTGAACCTACATCCATCTTTTAGGCTTTAAGAGATCGATATTTAATATATATACAGACTAAGTAGCCTCTGGAAGACTATCTCTCTACCTCGGACCCTCATAAAAAACATTTAAAAACAATGTGCCCGTTAGGTTCACAATGGTTAAGTCAATTACAGACTTTATTAAAGTCTGCGCAGGTCAGAATACTTAACATTGCTTAATTTTACCCTAGTATGTGGATCCTCTATACATTTACTTTTTTGTATATTGCCTTTTTGGCTTGAAAAAGACAGGATCAATTCATGTACAATACCAAGTAGAGCGACATTATATGTATACCTAACTGGGAGCCGTTTCCTGATGGCCCTCGAGCCAGGAAGACCCGAGCGAGACCCAGCAGAAGCAGCGCCCTCACCACCACCATCATCATCAGTCTATGGACTCTACTCGTCCTTCTGCTCCCTCGCTCTATCACCCACCATACACACACAGGTTCGCGAAGGTCTCCTTTATATTACCAATAAAAACAAATGTTTTTTCCCACCATGATTACCAAATACCGCCAGAGTACCAGCACCATCTAGTGGCTAGAGGTGTGGGCTCTCCCAGGATGCCCCCTCGGCCTGGAAGGTCTATATGCTTCATCACTTATTTGTATATATTTATTCTATATACACAAGAGTTCTTACATTCTTGTACACCCACTATTACGCATAGCGTTTCGGACTTATTTATTTTTGTTTCAAATACAGCTTTCATACTAATAATTGACAACAGCTAGCACTTATATTTAATAGTTACCCGTTGTCAAGTTTCTACCAATTAACATGACATGTTTTTCATGTTAATAATTGACAATAGACGTCTCTAGCACTCATGCACATTTAATAATATCTGTTGTCAAGTTTCTACCAATTAAAATTACATAGCTATTTAGTATAATTATGGCCCAACCTCCCCTTAACTATGATTTCTAGGTCAAATATCTGTAATCACCCAGAATTACGCTAATTTCAACAAAAAATAACGATCAAGAGTCATATTTCCAATAGGCATCGTATTTTTCAAACTAGTTAGTTTTTTAGTTTAGTTCATTTATTATGCACCCCATACCCATCTTGTGGGCGGTAGTGGAAAGGGTTACAGATGCACATTGGTTGATTTACTATTCACCGCATACCCATTCTGTGGGCGGTAGTGGAAAGGGTTACAGATGCACATTGGTTGATTTACTATTCACCGCATACCCATTCTGTGGGCGGTAGTGGAAAGGGTTACAGAGGCACATATATAATGGGCTCAGGGACTGAACCCCACAATTCATTTAGCTAAACAAGTTACAATCTTGATGAGTAAGTTACAAAATTCAATGCACATTGTTACTACTGCTCGACTTAGACTCAGTTACAAGTATCTCTGGGAATTTTAATTATCTGCAGATGCAAATCTGACTAAATGTAAACTGTCAACAAAATTATTCGCACACCCTCCGTCACTATGTGTTGGAGTGCGAAAAGATACGTGAATTCAGAGACAATTCTATAACAAATGTTACAGAGATGTGTAAATATTTAATTTAAAATGATCTACTGCCAGAAATCTTAGCCAAATATCCCCAGTTTCCTAACTGTAGGTAGTAACTAAGTGATTGTAACCTATCATGTAAGTGATTTACAGCCTTCCTAGAAGGTTGTAATGGAGCCCATAATATATATATGCATACTGTGCATATATTGGTATAGGTTTAAGTTCTGTTGGCTATTATTTGTATGTGTGGCACGTGGATGAAGCATTTAGAGCAACCCGTCCTCGACTCAAGTCCATTACATTCAGCGGTCAACCCCACAGACACATTCATAAATTTTAACATGCTGTTCATTCAAAACAAGAATTTTCTCAAGTATAAATTAATATTATAATATATTAACATATTGTGTATATATAGGCATAGGTTAGGTTAGGTCAGGTGTTTAGGTTCTGTTGGCGATTATTTGTATTTGTAGTACGTGGGTGAAGCATTTACAGTGTTGTGATTCAAACAAAATTCGTCAGTGAAACACTTGTTCCGGATATGTTCGAACGTCAGCAGTTGTGAGTCGTGTGTAAACCGCTTTTCATTCATAAACAGGGGGTTTGGTGGGTGCATGGAATCACTTTTGGATCTTTGTTTGGAGGACGGGCTGCGTAGGCGGTAGCAGAAAGGGTTACAGAAGCACATAATGGGTTCAGGGACTGAACTCCAAAATTCATTTAGCTAAGCAAGTTACAATTTTGATGAGCTAGTAATAAAATTCAATGCACATTGCCACATAAACAATGGGCTCGAAACCGACCGAAAATGGACCGTCCTCCAAACAGACCCAAAAGTGATTCCATGCACCCACCAAACCCCCTGTTTATGAATGAAGAACGGTTTACACACGACTCACAACTGATGATGTTCGAACACTTCCGGAACAAATGCTTCACTAAGGAATTTTGTTCGAACCCAGCCCGTCCTCCAAACAAAGATCCAAAAGTGATTCCATGCACCCGCCAAACCCCCTGTTTATGAATGAAAAGCGGTTTACACACGACTCACAACTGCTGACGTTCGAACATATCCGGAACAAGTGTTTCACTGACGAATTTTGTTTGAATCACAACGCTGTAAATGCTTCACCCACGTACTACAAATACAAATAATCGCCAACAGAACCTAAACACCTGACCTAACCTAACCTATGCCTATATATACACAATATGTTAATATATTATAATATTAATTTATACTTGAGAAAATTCTTGTTTTGAATGAACAGCATGTTAAAATTTATGAATGCGTCTGTGGGGTTGACCGCTGAATGTAATGGACTTGAGTCGAGGACGGGTTGGCCTATGAGATGGGTATGGGGTGCATAATAAATAAACTAAACTAAACAAAAAACTCACTTATTTTCATATTTACCGTATAAAAATACCTGATATAAAACTACACATACGATGTAATCACCCTGAATTACGCTCAAAAATAGCACTCAAGCATCAGATTTGAATAAAATCCACCTGGATAAAAATCACCATTGCAAATGATGCAAACATTTGACAAGCCGCTGGCATCTTGTCCTCGTCGAGGCCACTAGAGTATTAGTGGCCCTCAGGTAAAAGATTATTAGTTCTATGAATAGGTGTACGCGCGCGCTGAGCGTGAGGTGCTAAGTTAGCTAAAAGGGGGGTGAGTGTTGTGTCAACAGTCTGGCAGCCACACTGCTCACGGCCGCCCACACTATACCCGCCCACACGCCCACACTATACTCTCTCACACCCACACTACACTTTCCCACACGCCCACACCTCCATGCTACACCTGGTCCGGAACTGTTGTGTAATTAGTGAGCAGTTACCTGTGTAGAGGAGGAAGGGTGTGTGGTGAAGTACACTCTTGTGCCCGTGTGAGTGTTGTGTTGAGCTCCAGGGAGCTTACACGCTGTGTGTTATGTGAGCTCACACATGATGAATGTTAAGATGAAGAAACTGGGATGAATAGCTTTGTGAAGATAATGTGGCGGAGGAGGAGAGAGTAAGTAGAGCAGTTCCTCCTGTAAGATTCTCTCTTGGCCAGGATTTACCTGACGTTTTGCACTACTTTTTATTTATGTATTTATTTATTTATTTATGTATTCATTTATTTATTTATGTATTTATTTATTTATGTATGTATTTATTTATTTTATTTATTTATATACAAAAAGGTACATTGGGTTTATGAGTCTGACCCATGTTGGAATTATCTTAAATTAATTAATAATACACACACAAAAATTACATGTTTTGTTCAGTATTATATTGAAGTAGTGAAACTCAACTCAAGTCTGTTTCTAAACCCATAATTTCATACTTTGTTCCATCTATAAATTCTAATTTAAAAAATTGTATACAAAGTTTTGTGCCTTCTAACCTTTCTGTATACTTGCTTCTTATATTCTTAATGTGGGACATATATCGTGAGTTAGGTTTAGATTTTAAAGCCCATATGCTATGCAATGTCTTTACAAAGTAACCTTCTTCCATTTTCTTTTCTTTTCTTCTTCCATCTATAAAGCCAACAAACTTTGTAAAATCTCTTTATGTATGTACCTTTGCCTAAATAAAAATTATTATTATTATTATTATTATTATTTCAATATAGGCCTAACCACATTCCTTATATTAGGCTGAGTTAGAGCAGTTAAAGGTTAACGCATAGCGTTTGCCCGAAACGCAGTGCGTATTAGTGGCTTTAGGTGTTGTATGTATTAGCTCTATCTGTAAATCCCACATTATGTTTGTAATGAGATAAAGCTTTCTTTATCTCATGCTATAGGCTGCTAGGATTGGAAATACAGTATTTAAAGATGCAATTTACATATTAAATTATTTTTTCTTCAGTGAATTAGGAACTTAATAAGCAAGCAGATAAGTGAAGGAAGCATGGAAGGAGGAAAGGGAGAGAGACGAGGTGGAAAGAGCTGGAGGAAGGAACGAGAAGAACGGGAGAGGAAGCGCACCAACAGCAGAAGTGTGGGGTACCCTTCTAAAGGTTGGCCTTCATACGTTTGGAAAATGTTAATTCTTCACATTATTCTGTGGAACATGAAATAGCACCGAAGAGTTTGTAATGCCTAATTTTAATTGTTATTCAACTAATAATTTTGTTATGAATTCTGGGAATAAAAGCTCTGTGGTTCTACAGGTCATAGAGGCCTATTTCTTCTGGTTTAACTTCTTGTTTGGGAATCAGAGATTGTAAACTTGATCCAAAGGCTAGACTAATTTGTGTTTACCAAATATGAATTAAAATGGGTATTGGAAGTGTATATATCTGCATAATTATTGGACATAATCAGAGATTATTATCTAGATAATTATTGAATGGAAATACATCCAATATATAAGTAGCTTTTAAATTTAGCCTTGCTAAAAACTGTTATGTAGTTAGGGAAAAAGAAAATAGCTTTTAGAAATAAGTACATATTTAAATATTTGCTAGTCTTGTTATAATAAGAACCTTGTTTACTCTTATAAATATTTATTAGTGCACAGATTAAGAACACCTAGCTTATAGCTGCTGCTAACAATTGTTTCTAATTTTTTATATACTGTATAAAATTTAGCGTTTTAAACTTGATTTAAAAATCTATACACGAATGATTGGGTTCTTGCACGGGAAACAAAATTAAACTAGGCTTACAAACTAAGTACGTACTGTAATAAGTCGTAATTTCAAGGAAATCGAAGATGGTCATGTACCCCGTGGGTAAAGTTATTGGTCTCCAGATGATTACCTGTCTCAAGATAGAAAGGGTGTGCAAACTTCTATTAAAGGGTTACTTTAATAAGTTAGAAATAGTTTGGGAAGCAGGAGATGTGATAACTGTACAATAACACAATTTTCAATAAAATACAAGCTAAATATAAATATATATTTATTTAAATTTGTAACTACTGTATTGGTATTTTCTGCATTTTTTTTTGTTAAGCATTTATTAATTATGCAGAAGAAATGAGGTATCACATACATGTGTATTACAATTATATTTTAAAATGTTTAGATGCTGAGGAGAAGGAAGATTCTGTAAAGGAGAGACAAGCATTTGAGACCCAGAGACAAGAAGAAATTGAAAAAAAGAAAGCAGAAGAAGACAGAAAAAAGAAAGAGGAAGAAGCAGCAGCAGCTCAAGCCAAACAAGAAGAGGAAGAACTGGAACAGAAGAGGGAAGAGGAAGAAACCAGAAGACGCGAGGAAGAAGAAATGAAGAAGCAGGAAGAGGATCGTGTAAGCTATTATTTTTTTTCCTGTGATTAAACCATGTGATAGCAATGGCTGATATCTCCATAAATATACTATGTATATATAGGTATTAGGTAATTGTAGTGTTCCAAAGGGTGTTGCTTGTGATGGAAAAGTGTGAAAATTCATCACTTAGGGTGTTGCTTGTGACAGAAAAATGTGGCAGGTCTATTCTTTTTTCTTCATCTGCTCACAGCATCTATCAGTCACATTTAAGTCTTGTTAATTATGCACTCTTTATTTCCAGACTTTCCTTCTGGCTTATATCCAAGAGGCTGAGGAGAGGCTGATCAAGAAGGCTGAACTTAGAATACAGAATTTGGCAATGGCAAAAGATCGACCAGAACTGAACACTGCTATCCTAGACTCAAGCTTGAAGAAGAACACGGCATTCATTAAGAAACTGGTAAGTGTTCTATATTTTCTCTCTAAGTGAACTGGTAAGACTTGAATAAAGATTCTTGTAGCTCTTTCCTTGCACTTGATTAAAACTAGTTATTTCTTACAATTATTATTTTAATTGTGTGATGTTTTCTAAATTATGTATTGTATTGGGAATTATGTATCGTATTTGAAATTGTGTATTGTATTGGGAATTGCATATTGTATTTTATGGGAAACTGTTTATTGTGTACAGTACTTGGAATTGTGTACTGAATAAATTAACAATACAATACATAATTATATATCTCTGTGGTTAGAATATTCAAGCATGTATAATCTGGGTGGCTTAGGCAGGCAACATAATAAAGATTTCTGTTAAATTTCTATGCCAATCGGATTATTTGACAAAAAAATATAAACTAAACTTTCTCTAAAAATCTTTACTTGATAATTCACTAATTATAGCTTGCTTTCACAGAAAAACTTGACAGAAAGCCAGCATGATTCCCTGATAAGAGACCTTCAAAGTCTTAACTTAACAAAGTATGTAAGCGAGGTTGCCCAGGCAGTGGTCGAAGCAAAGCTGAAGATGTCGGACATCAATACTGCAGTTCACCTGTGCTCTCTCCTTCACCAGCGATACCATGACTTTGCTTCAACTTTGTTGGAGAATTGGCACAAGGTCCTCTCTCCGAAAAAAGAGGAAAAAGTATGTATAGCTTAATATTTTTTAATTCATTCATCATGGTCAAAATTTAAGCTGGAAGTTTGGTTAAATTTATTGTCAAACTGTGAAAGTAACACATTGAGTAGTGATGATTTTTTTTTGTCATATACTGTACTGTACAGGTACTTGAATTTATTTACCTGAGATCCACTTATATGTTTTCTGACCTTGATTGGAATAGGAAACCGAGGCTTGTACTGTAGTGTAAGAAAATATATTTAAAGTTTCAAATATAATTTTAAAAGTAGATAATAGAGAATCTTATAAGTCAAAAGATCTAATTGACTTTTTATATTGTTTTCTAATAAAGGGTTACTGAGACTTATTTGGTTGGGTTCTCCAGAACAGTAACATGAGTAAGCTACGAGTGGATCTCCGGCTGTATGCTGAACTTATTGCTGCTGGCATATTTGCACCGAAGGAAGGTCTTCCTCTTTTAGGTTAGTTGCAGTACCGTACACTTAAGATTTGAAAGGTGTACTGGTTCCCAGTATGTATTTTTATTGTAGTTTATTATTACAGTATAATTATTTATTTTTCTGAAACTGATTATTCCTCACTCATGCTATGGGAGTTTGGGGTAGAATATATTTGAAATAAGTTGGTGATAAATCCTTTTATCACTTATAATTCCTTCCTCAATTGCTAATGTAAACCCCTACCCTTAAAAAAAAAATGCTATTTAGTACATTTCTGGTTAACATCTATTGTGATAGCTTGTAAATGCAGTTCATGCAGTTTTTCATCACAGAAAATTAATAAACTCAAAAGTTGTAAAACATGTAACACAGTGATATTAGGCTGCTCCAATGTATTCCTAAGCCTTAAATTTTTTTTAGAGAAAATGGAACTTTGGGCTTCTTTGGGGTTTAGATTGTATAAAAAGTACATGATCTAAATTATAATAATTATTAATAATAACTTTTATGCAGTTAAAGTTGAGAGTAAGGTCAGTCAGGGAAGGAATGCTGGTGAAATAAAGCCTCTGGCTACTATAAACAATATAGGAAGTGATGTATTCAGAGTTATCCAATCTTCAGATGAGCTGAGGTAGGATAACAGCTCTTGCTTGCAGTTTCACTATGCATGTCATTTGACAGACCATATGAACTCTAGTCTTAGTTAAAAACAAAAACAAAGCTGCATGAAGAAGTTGTATTATCTACTCTTATTTATAGTTGAGACAATACTGTGGTATGAATGTGAAAAATCAAGAGTTTAAGCACCATAAATGAATTATAGGTACTTAAAAGATGTATTAGTGGAGTGTTGAATGAAATTGTCACGGAGAGATTGCTGTGAAGATCAATGAACTGCAAAATTAAAGGGGAGCATACCAAGGTGATTTGGACATGAACAAATAGATGACAGTAAACTGTTGACGAGAGTACAGTTTATTCAAGTTATTTAAGGGTAGGAGGTGGTAAGGAAGGTTGGATATTAGGAGGATTGACATGGTGTGTAAAGACGTGGGTAGTGGGTGTGAGGATTGGAGAGTGATTGAGTGTGGATAGCACACAGGATGCCAAGGAATAGATCTAGGTGAGAGTGGTTTGTTAGAAGGGAGTAAGTTTGTATATATATACTGTAGTAATGTATGTCATGAGGAGCCCTTGATCTTGAGAAGTGGTGGGGAGCTCCTGTGAAGGACTACTGTTGGTTTGCTAGTTTCTGTTTATCTGTAGTGCTATATATTGTAGAGTGAATTATATAATTAATTGATGATATTTTCAGCTCTGTACTATTTAACTTCTATAATCCTCTTACTTCAGCATATTGCTTTCCTTTTTTTCATTTGAGTTGATGCCTGGTTTCCTCCCCCCCCCCTCTCCATGAAGGTGGGAATAGAAATAATGTATGTGCAGAATGTATAATATATCTTGTAAATGGCTCCAGGGAATGTATTAACAACATTGGTTACATCGGACAAGGAGGAGCATCAGAACATTTCAGTGTTGCTTACCTTCTGCCGACATTGTGGGGAAGACTACATGGGGTTGGTGCCGAGGAAAATTAGACTCCTTGCAGACCAGTTCCAGGTCAGTACATTCAGCAACACAATGTGACTAATAGTGCAACATATGAGCTTAACTGATATTAGTGTTAATGCAACAGTGGTCTAAGCAGAGGGAATAAATATTTCCTTGTAATCATTAAGGCAAGCTGAGTGAAATGTAAAGACAGCCTTATTGAGCCCTATTTTAAGGTATCTTTTGCAGATTTTTTTTATCTAGTACAATTTTTTAAGAGATGATTTCTGTGAGACACAGGACTCAAATAACAATCTCTCTCTCTCTCTCTCTCTCAAAAGCCACACTCATCCTTTCATAAATATAGAGAGAACTAATACTATACCAACACATTAGAAATATGAAAAGACAATAATGTTTTAGTATAACAAGTTGAAACAAAAAATGTGATGTCACACCTTTTCATATATGTTATGCGAGTTTAGTGTTTTGTTTGTTCTAGACAAAGTATTGTCATGCAAAAGAAAATTTCATAAGCATATTTCTAGTTTGCTTCCTTTTGTCATGGTTTAGTAACATAATAATACTATCGTGTCTTCACACACAGATGGCTGTACCCAAAAGTGACTTTCTTCCTCGTGAGAGACAGAAGAATGTTAGAACCCTGATTAAAGATTATTTCCTCTCCCTTACAAAACATCTGTTCTATGATCACAAGGTAAAATATATCAGGTTTTGTATGTGTAAGGCTATCCTTCACAACACTTGTTTTATGCTCTATAATGATGATGCAGCATACATACTTGTAACCAACCTCCTTAGCAAATGATTATTGGATAATTTATAAGCAGTGTAGTTGTCTTGTGTACCTCTATATTAATAGCCATTTATTTCATTAAACGTGTGTTCCATTCTTTTGAATTATAGTTATCCTGGGTTTGAATAAGGTAATGTTTTTGGCTGTGGCACTGCTTCACAGCTCTAAATTAAGGCAAAAATAAAAAACAATTATAGTACAAAAAGAACTGGCTTTTTCCAATACAGTATACGATTAACTTTATACTAACACTAAAATAAAATAAAATTTGAATCCAATTTCCAATAGAAAATATGGTATTGGTAAATGCAAAACCAGAAAATAACAGCATCCGCTCTTGAAATCAAGTTTTTACACTATTTCCCTTTTCACCATTCTCTTCTAGATTATAATGCATTGCATAATTGATTTCCAAGGGGACATAGTTTCTTCCAATGGAGGAAGATACTCAATGTCAAATGTATCTTCTTGTCTTGCTCCAGCATTAATAGAAAATCCTCTCCTCATTCTCATAGCTTGTTTAACATATTGATATATGAGTCCCCCGGATGAGTTTCCCAAATTAATCGGCCTTAACCTCTGTGATGTGTCACATTTATAGTGAAATTCTCCCCGAGCACCGAAAATTAAGTATTTATAAAAAAACAGAAAAAAAATTCTTTGTAAAATTATAAATTTTCTTCCCTGAACATTTACATGTAAAAACAAATATAAAATTCCACGTACTTTGGGTGTGGGGACGTCGACACAGTGGTGTGTGACATCATCACGGGCTGGTTGCCTGTGTGTGTGAAGCTCCCAGACACGGTTGTGCGGGTCATTCAAGCCTCGCGAGTTGTCACAATTATATTTACAAATAATATTTCTATGAATTTTTAATGCTTTTTAATGTTTTTTTTGTATCATATCTGATGCATATATGTGTCCTTGACAATATTTATACAATAGAACGTTCATAATGTTCCATGGAACTGTGATACATGTCGGTAATGTGTCCACAATAAATGTTTATTGTTGCAATATTACTTGTTCAAAATTCACTAATATTACATCATGTACAGTTTCACACACTATATTACACACTCAGTACTTCAGAAATGAGTGATAATCAAAGAAACAGTCCATGGTGCACAGCGCGACTTTGCTCTTGATGCACCAGGTACAAACAGATTTTCGCTTCTTGTTTCTTTGTGCATGCAAATAACACACTTGCGTACACCCTTGGCTTTAGTACCTAAGCTTGTGAAGTGTAGGGTAGTCTTGAAAGGATTATAGAAAAAGATCACTTTGTAAGGTATTCTGGAGGAGATTCGGGTATTCTGGGAGAAATTCAGATATTCTGGAAGAGATCGATGGAAAACTACCATGGAAGCCGCTAACACTGTTCATCTATGCTACTTTTACCAGATGCATCATCACGAACCCAGAAAACGATTCATCTATGTATCGTCTATAAAAATTGAAGATAACATGGGTGAGCAAGGTTGGCACTCGGCTACTACTGGATGTGCTTGCTGTATTGTCCTTATCGGTGCTGTATCGCTTGCATCCGACCCCTGTGTTAGGTCCTTATTGTGAATAGCTTCATCGATATCATGACCCTTATGTTCTTCAAACAATAAGGTCTGAATTTCAACAACAGAGCGATTTTTCAACACTGCATTGGACAGGTGTTTGGGACACAGTGGTGTGTGCGCCACCCGTTGCTCACTCGAAACGAAGCCAGCCAGCAGCCCTAGAGCATTCTGGGAATTTTTTCAAAGATGGCTGCATCTTGCTGGAGATCCCAGGAGCCCATTTCGTACCCAACCAAGTGCGTGTGTGTTTTGAATGGGTATGAAATAATATGATGTTTTCTTGGCTCGCGCAGTTTCCAACAAAACGGGTTTTCTCGGCCGGCGCAGTCCATTGGTTAATGTTCTCTGTTCTGGCTTCATAGGTTTTCGAGTCTATTGATTTGAAATCAAAGTTACCTAGTATCAACAATCATGATTTAGCTTTGTGCTCTTACTATCTCATGATCATCATAAGGCCTCTCTAAGCTGTCATCTAGCTCTTCTTTAGTCTGTATTGCTTGCTGTTGGACTGCAGGCACTACTGTCCACCAGTAAGCATGGACTGTAGTGCCTTCACTGATATTCTTGAGCATAACTCCTCAGCAATGCCTCCTCATTTGAAATTTTGTCTTCCAGTTTTGTCCCCACTAATGTGACAATATCTGGCATTTTAATCTGTATTATATTACTGTATTTAACTCAAGTAATTTTGACTTCATAATTCATGTTAATTTACAAAATAATTCTAGAACATGTTCCCTCCTCCTTTGCCTTTCACTCCCTCTTTCTTCTTAACATTGTTGGTGGGTTTTTTTTGTGAACCATTTATGTGCATGTCTGTCTCTGCAGGTTCCCTTAAAATAGAAAAATGCAAAACCTTGAGTGATAATTTTTTATATACCGTACGGTTTGAGCCTTAGAGTATTGAACAAACATTTATCTATAGTATTGGGGGATTATTCAGGAAATTTGTAGTTGCTTTGAAATACAGTACAGTATTGTGACATACTTTATGTTGGAGTACTGCTTTTTTCCATTCATCATGATACCCTCATCTGTTTGTGTGTCATATGATATTTATAATACAAAATAAATTGTATGACTGTGCACAGAGCTAAATGACAATTTGTCTCAGAGGTTGAAGCCCATTATAATAATTATTCAGTTGAATACAAGATGTCACTGATATCGGCTTTTGATTTTTTAGGAACTGCAGCAGGTTGAGCAGCAAAACCGTCGGCTATTGCAGACTCGAGGAGAGCTGAGCCCTGATCGTATCAACTTGGCTGACAACCTCTCTACTGGACTAAGCAAACTTCTAACCAATGCCCAGCAGATGGCTGAGCTGCTTGATGAAGACTTGCCTGAGCTTCCAGAAGACAGTTAGTTATTTCCTATGTCTTTCCTTGGAAGCCAGTAAAGCTGTCCATTTCACATTTATGATCTATGTGCCCTGTTTTGGACTGTTGAAAGGTATTGCCATGCTTACTATAAATGTATTAGCTAAAGAAAAATGCAAGATCATCTCTTCTGTGCTCCTCATCTTACCAAGAAACTCCTTTTTGTTGAGAGGCTCATTTAGATGAATTACTTGTGAAGTGTATTTGACTAGGAAAAATAGATTGCATATATATTGAGGAAGGCAGAGAAAATACTCCTGAGTGGAGGGACTTTATAATACAGTATAGAAAAATATGTGGAATTTTTGTGTAGTGACATTTTATCCTGCTTGGGTCACAAAATCTCTGGATTTAAGACTACAGTATTTCCAAGGGCCTAGATTCAGCTTTGGGTTTTGCTCCTTCCTGGGTTCCTGTGGGCCTAGAGCTATTGCATTCTTAAAGTAAAACTTCCTATTGAAATAATACTGGTACTGTATTAATATTTATAATGTTGACGAAAAACTTTTTTTCATTAATAATACATTTCCAATATGCATTTTACAGAATCTCAAGGAGATGATCTAGGTTTGTGTGATATGGGAATGGGCGAGGGTGGAGAGATACCAGAAGGAGGGACAGCCGTGCTCTGGGAGGATGACGATACTAGAGCATTTTATGAAAACTTCCCCGAGCTCAAAGCTCTTATCCCTTCCATCTTGTACAGTGATTCTGAGAAACCCACAGCTGTACCTGTAAGTATTATTCTTGTGTGTGACCTGATTTGAGTTGGTTACTAAGTGATATACAGTATAATGGCTTGTCCAGTATTTCAATGACCTTAAAGATTTTATGCATCTGCCATTGTGCAACACATCACATTTATATGTTAGTGTAAAAAGTACAAATAAACCATTTATGTCATATAAAAGCCGTAGAAATGTGTACTTTTCAGGACTTCAGTACCTGAAAAGCATATACTGTATGGCATGTCATTGGGTACTCGGTTTCCTGGGCATGAGTGATGCTCCTTTTCTTTTATCCAGCTTCTTTTGGGAAAGGAATATATCCAACTGGTGCTGGGAGATATCCTTGGCTGATATCCATCAGCCTTTTCATAATGATAAGTTGTCTGTGCTCCCTCTGGTGAGCTTGGACTACGAATATCGAGTTGTCATCCATAGATCTTTAGTAATGATGATACTAGTGATGGACTCTCCTTGTCCTGTCCAGCTCTCTATGCCACTAAACTTCATTTCTGTCTTGAGACAAATGTTTGTATATTATACCTGTGACCTATATGCAGCTTCCTTAATTTTAGATTCAATCTTTGATTACCAAGCTCCTCTTACTTCTGTGAGAGAGCTAGCTCCTGGTCATGGCTTTTGTATATCTTTTTAAGTCTTGGGGCCCTAGTACAGTTGGGAGTCCCTGTGGTACTGTGACTTAAGCTCCAGGAACGTACAGAGACCACCCATAATGGAGCATTTATCACTGACAAGGTATAAAGAACTAGATCTCCCTTCCCTTGTCACTGATGTATAAGCACTCTACTTACTTAACAAATCTTGTGCAATTGTAGGTTGTTTAGGCAACCGAGATAATTTTAACAATTCTCGCTGGAAGCTGTGGAAGAATTTTATATATATATTTTTTTTTAGGCTGAAGAAATTACAACAGAAGAAGTAGATGAGACTTTAGAGGAGGAAGAGCTGGAAGTTATGGAAACAAATGAAGAAGACACTGAAGAAGTGTTGCCGCCCGAGTTACCACCAGAGGAGGAACAAGATGACAGCTTGACTGGCACAGGACCATCTTCTAATAAGGTGTTACTAGATGCCTTCCTCACTGCTCTTCCCAACTGCATCAACAGAGACCTGATTGACAATTCTGCAATGGATTTCTGTCTCAGATTTAACACTAAGCCAAGCAGGAAAAAATTAGTTAGGTAAACACTAGCAGGCCTCTGCATTTTGAGTTTGATCAGTTGCTAGTACTGTATCTGATTTTGATTATTGTTGGTACAAGTGTCCTGTGATCCTAATGAGTGTGGGAGTTAGTATGAGAAGTTGGGGGATTACTCTATATCTTGTCCCTCTGTTCATATATTTATCCATCCTTTCCTGGGAAGTGTCTGTCTACCCATAGCAGAAAATATGGTGGTCGGGATAGTGATGAATTCTTGGAGCCTGGGATTCAGTTCTTAGGCTTTTAACACTTTCGCCCGGGCATGACGCAGCATTGCGTCATCCGTTTACTGTCGGTAATACCGCGGATGATGCAGCATTGCGTCATCCACTTTAAATAATCGCCAAAAATCAGGCTTTTATCCAATTTTTTGGGGACTGGTTTTAAAATGTGCGCCGATGTCTTCCCATTTTCTTTGTTGAGCCTCGTGGCCCTCAGGTGGCTTGGCACATGCCGTGGGCCCATTGTTTTCGCTCCACTGTTGTGACCAATGTCGCCTCCCTTCGCATCTCAAACGTGTGAACATTTCGGCTATTTTCCGTGGCTATATTTCTTACTGCGGCTTTAGAAACTATCTACCCTTACTCCATGATGGATAGTGATCATGAACAAGGCCCTTCCAGGAAGAAAATTGCGAAAGAAAGGCTTGAAAAGAGAGGGAATTGGGAGTGTAGCTGGAAGGCGTCTGAGCACTCACTCGCGGCTAACGCGTGGCCCGTCTTCAACTCGTCGGCGGTTGGAGTGTGACCAGGTTTTATATTTTATATGCTAATGTTCCTCTAGATAATTCTATTGCGAACCCATTGAAACCAAAATGAAAGACCTAGGAAAAAAATTGAGGTGACCAGAGTGAAAATAGTGAAAACATTTTATCGCGTTTGCGCGCTCCTGGGTAACTCATTCGCACTTTCTCTGTTTGCTGCGGGTAATTAGCCGGGCGTTTGGAGTTTATATGCATTTAGTGCTGTAGAGAATTCTATTGCGAACACAATGATACCAAATTTAATCTCGTAGGACGAGAATTAAGGTGACAAAGTTGAAGAGAGTATACACTTTTCAGAATTTACGCGCGCTCCCGTGACACCCTGGGTCCCATATCGCACAGTTGAGGGGTGGCGCGCGGGGTGAGCGAAAGTGTTAAGTCAAATACCAAAAGTAAAAGCAAACCTGCATTTTAACTATTATGCAACTTTACAGTCAGTGTTAGGACATTGCAGCCCAATTGCAGCCATTTTTTTCTGGGGGAGTCCTTGGTGGCTCCCAGAAGCTATCTTGCTGAGATTGTTTCATTGTAATGGGTCACATCAGTTACAGAAGTTGTTTGTAATACCTGGGACCAGAGCCAGAACCTGGCCTCCTCACAGAGGCACAGGGAGTGAGTGACAGTCTGCCACCTCACTGGGAAAAGCATCCAAAAAGTCAGTGAAGCTTTACAGACAACTGTAAGGTTCAAAGAAAACAAAGCCTCAAAACCACCAAGCAACTCTGCAAATGATTAAAACGGAACTATAAATTCACTCAAAACTAGCTTGAATACATTAGTACCAATAGCCACCACCAAGTGCCCTGGCCCCTTGCACACAGCTGGTTCCTCTGATCAGTTCTGTTGCTGATGTTGGGTTGGTTACTACTAAGTGTAGTGATCCAGTCTGTTGTGGGCAAGCCCCTTTTTTCTTCACTCGGGGACTACCTGTTTGCTCCAGCACTCCTCAAGCAAATGGCAGCTATAATGTGCAGCTGTCTTTGCTGTCTGGGACTCTTATTGCAGATGACTACAAGGTGTGTACACACTTAGCGGTGGTCTTTTGTGTTTCGATTCTTGTGGAAGGGTTCTCTGAGCAGCTCCATGAGTATGTGAAGCCTTTTAGTTTTACCCTGGGTATGGAGGCCTTGTGGCCTGCGATTCCAGCTTTAATGGCTTTGCCCAAGATGCTCACTCCTCTCCTTTGGGAAGAGGTTGCGGCATTTTACTTGGCTCATCTCATGTGTGTAGATAGTCTCCGTTGGCCAGACCTTAAGATTCAGCTTGGTCCTTAACCCTATAGTCTGCCTCTCCTTTTTTCGCATCTCCTCTTTCCCGAGGATGCCGTTTCCCAAGGATTGTCTGCTGCGGCTTTTTCCTGTCATCTGGTTAATCCACTGTTGTTTCTTCGGGGTTTTGTCCTCACTTATCAGAGGTAGTCTGGTAGGATTGAGCTTCGCCTCCTATTCAAGGTAGGTCATTGGTAGAGTCTGATTCTTGGGCCGTTGAGCTACCTTCTGCAAGTTCCTTCTCTGCTCGTTGGTGCCATTATGCTTCGCAGAAGGATGACATCCTAGTAGGATGGTAGATTGTCACTCGGTCCCTGTACCTCAGTGAGGGTGGGGTCCCAGGTTCTAGCTCGGGTCCCTAGTAGGCTAAACAGAACTCCAATGACTAATGTGACCCATTAGAATGTAGCAATCTCTGGGAACCACTGGGGTTCTACCAAAAAGAGATACTTCATTATATTCAATACTGGGTTTTCCTTTGTTAACTCCATTCCATTTTTATCCATATAGGATGGAACAATTATTTTTTAACATTAATTAGTAATGTCTTCTTACAGACATAATAACATAGGACAAAAACCCAAACTTGTGTATATGTGAAATTTGTTTTAGGAATTTACGCCAAATCTTTTGCACTCTTCTGAGTGCTTTATCAAGGTCTGAGTGTGTGATTAGAACGAGACTTACATCTCACATTAAATCTTGCATCTCAACATGATCACACGTTGAGATGTAAGTCTCGTCCTAATCTCACACTCGGACCTTGATAAAGCACTCGGGAGAGTGCAAAAGACCCGGTGTAATTCCTTACATAAATTTCATATACAAACAAGTGTGGGTTTTTATCCTAGTAACATTAATGCTTTATCTGCTTTATTATGTATTGTATGTGTGACTGTAAAGTCTAGTATGTTTTAGAGGGTGTGGTGGTGCAAAAATATCTGAAAGTAGGTATGTAACTCGAGAGAAATGGTGTGTGTGAGAGCCTGACAACATTGTAGAGAAAGTGGGAGACTAGTAAATCATCTGATGATCTGCACTAAGCTCGCATACTAGACCCCCCAAAATTTAACTGTGCACTTTTGAAACTTGGTATACAAGTCCTTACCCATGTACCACAGAATCAATATTTTACAATACTGCAAAAATTGAGGGGATGTCTTTACTTAATACCATGGCAGTTTTAAAAGCTACTAAGCTAGCCGTCAGTGTACAAATATTACTCGGTAATTCTCATTAATTTATTAAATACGCTGGTCTTCTTCGTAAGCAGCCAGCCTGCGGTGACTGTTTGGCCTGTACCGCACCCCATGCTGCCTCAACACCCCCCTTCACCCTAGCTTTACTCGCTGCCTTTTTTGTTGTCTCTCACTATATAAGTTTCATTTCTTGAAAAATAATTACAAATCATAGAATTAGCCTTAGTAATATTAGAATCCTGTGTGTTGTTCACTTGATAATAAATGCACACACACAACTCTCTTTGGATGCCACTTTACACTACACTTTACACTGAACACTTTATTACCTCTGCAGTCTTCGCGGGTTTGCTGCCTGTTGAAGCCTTGACTGGCACAACTTCTTTTTTTTTTTTTTTTTTTTTTTTTTTTTTTGAGATATATACAAGAGTTGTTACATTCTTGTACAGCCACTAGTACGCGTAGCGTTTCGGACAGGTCCCTGGAATACGATCCCCTGCCGCGAAGAATCGTTTTTTCATCCATCCATTTTACTGTTGCGTTAAACAGAGGCTACAGTTAAGGAATTGCGCTCAGTAAATCCTCCCCGGCCAGGATACGAACCCATGTCATAGCGCTCGCGGAACGCCAGGCGAGTGTCTTACCACTACACCACGGAGACCTGTATTTGAAGCCAACATTGCATTGTACAATGAGAAGGAACTTGACCGCACCACAAACAAAAACAAACAAAATTAGTTGGACATGTGAAGGTGAGATGAGTGCAAAGTGCTCGTTTTGCACTACTGGCAAACTAAGCCTCTTGCTGCTGTAGCTCTTGTGAGTTTGTGAAAAGCTAATGGTTGTCTACTAGTTATACAGATTTTATTGACATATGATGTCCTTATTAATTGCTTTAGAAATTATGAAACTGTCAGAAAGTTTATCTTGTAGTATTGCTTGTGACGCAGAAACAACATGAGGGGTAATTGCTTAGTCTTCATATACAGTACTGCATTGTTATGTGACTTAATCGATGTAATATTTAATGTATGTTACAGAGCTTTGTTTCTGGTGCCAAGGACAAGACTAGATTTACTTCCATTTTATTCACGTCTTGTGGCCACACTCCAGCCTCTGATGCCCGACCTGGCCACTGATCTAGTCAACATGTTGCGACAGGACTTTAAGTATCAAGTACGGAAAAAGGTAAATATAAATGAGTATGCTGTGTGGCCAACTTGTTTATTGGGCTTAGCTCACATGTATAGTATGGTATGCTACCTCTGAAGTGGTAGTGAACTTCATATTGATATTTATAATTATTTTATATTCATTCAGATGTTTATTGCTATGTTTTATTTAACATATAAAGATTTGACAATAATTACCCTTGTACTGTGTACATAGTAACAAATTAATTACATAAGAATTGTGCACCTCTGAGATAACTGACACTTGGGGTCAGATAATATTTGGTTAAAGCAGTAACAGCATTAAAAAATAAATCCAAATTCTGTATTCCAATTTGCAAATATTGAGTAGAGAAGATGTTTTAGTGCAGAGGAATGTACCTTCTGAAGGTTATCTAAGACTGTATTAAGAAATTTCCAATACTACCCTCTCCCCTTGTGTGGCTGGGTAGGAACCATTTAAAAATATCCCTACTGTGTCGAGGATTTCACAATGTCATGACCTTGGCTGGAATCTGCAGTGTCCCTGGGGGAGTGGAATGTTGCCAAAGGAAATGATAGAGTAGCCCAGGAAGTGAATAGAGATAGAAAAAAATCTCAGGAGCTTTTTCATCTATATTCAAAACCTTATTTGTTTGACTCAATTAGTGGATTTATAAAGTTGATTTTTTTTGTTTAACTTGATTAACTTTTTGTTGTGTTCTCCAGGATCAGATAAACATAGAGTCAAAGATCAAGGTTGTGCGGTTCATTGGTGAACTAGTCAAGTTTAGAGTCTTCCCTCGCACTGAGGCGCTCTTGTGTTTACGCATGTTGCTACAGGACTTCAATCATCACCATATTGAAATGGCATGCAACCTTTTGGAGACCTGTGGCCGCTTTCTCTATAGGTGAGAAGTTAGTACAGTGATACGGTAATGTTTTATGTTCTTTATACCCGGTAAATTTCTTTATGCTCTGGCAGAATGGTCAAATTAGAACTTTTCCCATATACCAAAGACAGTGAAAATGATAATGTGTATTATTTAAATAAACATACTTATTTTACATGTATTATTTTTAAAATAGAATTATATATTATTATTATTATTATATATAATAAATATTATAAAATAATAAATTAATGAAATTGTTGTAAAGAACATTGTACTGTGGTAGGAGATGGCAACATCTTCCATGTGATTAGTTTTATGTTTTTCTTATATCATTGTCTTGTCCCCACTGCAGCTTTTTTTTCATAGCTCTATCTTGCCCTTTTACTCAACCCCATTTGGCATGGGTCTCATTCTCAGGGACAAGATACCTGTAAGGATTATTGAGGTCCCTCTAGGCTCATAACTGATCTCTCACCCAGGGTACAACCCCACAACTGTTGCCCGACTTTTGCAAATCCATTTACTGATGGGTGAACTAAGGAATATGGTATCTAAGTACTCAGTCGTTCCCTTCAACTACTGATAGTTTATGTGCATTGTGAATTGTGGATTTCATCAGCTTCAACATTTTTTGTTTTCTTAATTTTGTGTTTTTTATCAGAATTCCAGATTCTCACCATCGCACTAAGATCTATCTTGAGCAGATGATGAGAAAAAAGACTGTAAAAGCCTTTGATCCCAGGTGAGCATTATATGAAAATACATCATATATTTTGTGTTATTGAGATGATATGGATAGTAAGTGTGCTGAATAACTGGATGCTAGATATCAGCAATATTCAAAAACTTAATGCTGGTTATCCAGCCAGTGGTATTTTGCTGGTCATCCAGAGGATACTATCCATCAGGATAGCTTGCTAAAACTAAATAGAGAAAATGCCATACAAACACCACAATAGTTTTTGTTTTTCTGTTCTTCAGGAGTACTGCACATAAGTGAATTGCTTTTCATGTTGTATGAGAGCATAAAAGCATTTTAAGAGTAAACAAGTGATTCCTACAAGCATCACTGAGAGCCTGGCACATTGTCACTATCTTGACACATCCAGTGCATAAGAAATGGGGAAGCTACTAACGTGCTGCTCAGGAAGGGGCATTTAATTTCACTCGATATTTAATAGTTTTATTTATGTAAATATATGAATATCTGCAATAATGCATCACATATTTTATCTTCATTCTTTGACAGGTACAACACAATGATTGAAAATGCATACTTCTATGTAAACCCACCAGACTCTGGCCCAGAGACTACCAAAAAAGAGCGCCCACCTATTCACCAGTACATACGCAAACTTCTCTACAATGACCTTTGCAAGTCCAATACAGAGAAAATTTTGAGACAAGTAAGATTTGTTCTTCCCTTTGAAACTGCTCTTTTGGGACAGGGGCATTTTGTGGAGTTTCTACAAATTTATATTCTTAAAACGTGCAGGAATGTCTTGTGTCATGGCATTAAGTTGGTGAGGTATTTTTGCAACATCTTTTGTGCCATTCTCATGTTTAGACTCTCATTTATACTTCAATTTTCCTGCCACACATTTTATCCTTGGAGGAATAGGGCAAACACCCAGAAACCAGAAGGGCACCTCTGAACAAAATGAAGAACACCTGAGATGTGCTCCAGTTGAACAGGGTAGGCACTTTGTAAAAGCTGAGACACAGACTCGGAGATACGAGAACTACCTTTTTGGGGACAAAACAAACTTGGGGGAGAGGGAGAACTCCCCAAGAGAAACCATGGACACTTGGGGTCCTTTGTTCCTAAAAGGTTGGTCTGGTGAAGCTTAGCGACTCCTGAAGCTCTCATAAGGTTTCTGAGGCAAGTATTCCTTTCCATCCTAGTGAGTCTATTGTCCTGTGCTAAAGACCTTTTCTTCAGGCAATATCCAGGGGTTTGAATTTGCTGTGGCAGGGCTTGAGGGTTGGTGCCTAGTCTTCCCTATGTAAGGCGGGGGTTGCAGCCTGAGGTGGTGCTTGAGGATTTGGTCTGGATTGTGGTGAACCCTATGTGTGAGTTGGCTTCCAGACTGTGGTGAACCCTTAGTGTGAGTTGGCTTTCAGCCTGGACAGCACATATCACTGGGATATTGTCTATTCCCTGCTCTGTTTGAATATGATGCTTCTTCATTTTGTCTTAAAATCTTGCTTATCATTTCACTAGTAATGAACGATGTTCCTGTACTCCAAAACATTTCCCAGACTTATGCTTTTTGAGCTAGGTGGGAATTGAAGCTTTTCTTCATTAAGAGATGTGGCCTGGGTGTGTGAACCTGTCCCTGCTCTGCTCAAATTTAGCTCAGCCTATGCCTCTTGGTTTCAGTAATAGATCTTGAAGTCCTCATGGTTGACAAGCACCTTTCTATTTTAAGTAAGGGAATGGCTTCACTTTGTCTAAGTTCAGCGTTTCATTCTCTTGAATCCTCAATTATACTGTGTGTACAGTTTCTTCTTTGTATTAAGTAGAATGTGATAGGACTTAAGACTGGTGATCTGGTGTGGGCTTGGGTGCTGCAAACTTGTGGTGGTCAGTGGATGTGGCAAGTAGGGAAATTGCGAGTTGGGTCCGGATAACCAAGTTATAATATAACGTTCAGTAAACTTGCTTTAGGTAGCATATAGTGTCAGGTGTAGACAGAAACTTTGCATGTTTACTAAGTCTGATTTTTATAATTGGGAGATTTATCAAGTACTGTATTATGATTGACACTAAGAAATGTGGCATTAGAGCATTTAGAAGTATATTTTTTCAGCACTGACAATAGAAATGATTGTAGAATGCTCTTTGCTGACTTAGTCGGTACTTAATAATTGTGACCGAATTTATGGAGAAATGTGATTTTAACTTGTGTTCTTTGTATCGTATCTAGAAAGTTAATATTATTAGGCTTTCTATTCCATTTTCATTTTACTTTCAGATGCGGAAGATGCACTGGGAAGATCCACCCACTTCTGGCTACATTGTGAAATGTCTGACAGCAGTCTGGAATGCCAAATTTTACAATATTCGTTGTATTGCGAACCTGGTGGCGGGCCTCGTCTCTCACCATGTTAGTGGTTGTCTTTGTGTTTTCCTTTGTTGGGATTTGTAATTGAAGCTGACTTCTTGGCATTGTTTGAGGGTTGGATCTTTGAACCTTGGATAGGGGGTGTAACAATGTAAAGAAAGAATTATCGATGATGAATGAAGGAGATGTTGAGTGGTGTTGGCCCTTGATTTAATAATCTAAATTTAAAGGAACCCTCAATTCAGTGAAAAGACTTTTATACTAAACGAACTTTGTTACACAAATCTGTATTGTTTATAGTTTACAGCATTGTTAGTTTTGCCTTTTTAATAATCACATTTACTACTGTAGAAGTATGACAAACTTTTGGTTATATATTTCTCAAAGCAATGTTTACTTTGAACTAGGATTGGGTGGGTCCAGCTGTTGTGGATGGCATTTTGGAAGAGATTCGCCTTGGTTTAGAGGTGAATCACCCCAAGTATAATCAGCGACGTGTTGCTGCTGTGAAGTACCTAGGAGAGCTCTACAATTACCGTGTAATTGAAAGCACTATTATATTTAAGGTAAAAAAGTAAAAATGATTTGTTCTGTATACTGTAGATTTAATTCCTGGTAATCCAGATCCTGGTGAAATGGATTTCTGGATGCAACACACAATCTAATTTGATTATGGTTTTTCACAATGGATTAGTTATCCACACAATGAGCTACAGCCATAATTACCAAATGCCCTTGCTGAATGCCTAGTGTCCACTCGTTGTTCACTTAGACACTGCGATGGTTAATCAAGTTTTACTAACAAATTGTTTTTACCTTAGAGACTGCAGCAGAGGGAGAGCCATGCTTTAGGGTTCACTTCTCTATATGGGGTACCATATCTTATCTGTTACAGCTGTGTTTCAGAGTTGTCTTTGCTGCTACTGTTTGTTGAAGGCTTTCAGCCCCAGAGATATCTTTTCTGAAACTGGAATGTGTTGCCATTAGTCAGGGCCAGGCCTGGGCCTAAGTGCTTGGCTTTTCTTTATATTCTTTAAGAATTGTTTCACGTTCTTAACTTTGGGTAATTGAATGCCATTTCCACCCTTCTGGGTTTCACTTACGGTGAAAATGTGGAGTCTTGTTATTTAGTCTATAGCTACCCTAACCAATCCTCCTCTGTTTTTAATGGGTTATTTGGTTAGCATATGCCAGCTGCCCATCTCTTGGAACTGGGCTCCCACTTTGGGGCTCAACCTAAGGTTTATAGAGGGTCTGGCTTCTGTAGTTCTCTCTATGAGCTGGTCATGATAACAATTGTTGGCTTTTGAGTCAGGCAGACTCAAAGTTCTACCTAGTCAGTCATTCCTTAATCCGAGACTGCTGGCAGGGCCGTTGGTCTGAGGTTACATGTGGTTACAACTGGGCACTCTTAAAAGGAACCTATCCCCCTTCGCTTTCCTCCTACCACTGTAATAAATAGTGAGAAATGGCTTTAGCTAGGTTAACGTATTAGCCATACACACTTGACTCGTGGACATTTAATGAAACTCTGCCCTGCTCCTTATTGTCCAACTGCGTTGTCCCACTTAGCCATGCACCTCCTTGAGGAATGTCTCAGTTTTCATGACGATCGTATGTCTTGCTTTCCTAATGGTCCTCGACAAAGTCCTTGGCAAGTCTCATTCCTATGATGTTCCTCACCTTGTGTGTTTTTGTTCTTATATTGGCATCCTCGGTGATATTTAGTGCCTTTTGAATATCCAGTAACACTGATGATGCTTCAGTCTTCCTAATTTTGTGCCTTCTTTTGATAATTACCTACAGTAAAATGATTTATTTTATGTAGTCGGTTTAGATTTATCTTTGGCTCATTTTTTGTACAGTATAAGATATAATGTAGTGTGTGTGTTCCTGTCTTTTTGTGTATACACTCTACATGTCAATAAGATCTCCACACAAGTTGAGCTGCCAGAGATACTTGTAGCCAAGTTGTATTCCAGCTATCAACATTTGTCAGTCAATTAATTTTGTTACTTGTCCCCATACAAGTGGGTAGTGTGAGTCCTCAGTTAATCATGTATATTCTGACTCTGGAATCACCCAACGGACTGGTTTTAAAAGGAATGTTTCATTGCACTCAATACCCCTAGAGTTTTTATATTAAAATGTACTTTTCCCATATGATTTATTTATTCAAATACACACACACACACATGTTCTATAATTTGTACTATTCAAAAGAGGTTTTGATCTGACCAAAAATCTAATTTGAATGGAATACCAGATGCATTGAGAGAGGTTGTCATAATTATTTTGAATTAGTGGTTTTTAACTGTACTTTACTTTTAAATAAATTATAGAAAAGCTATATTGTCTAAATAATGTAACTTTCCTTACTGTATACAATAAAGTACCATTGGAAACATGAATTTACATTAGATTCATAAGTATAGGTATATGTAGTTCAGAAGGATTTGTAAACAGTAATAAGGTTTACTATTAAATTGTTACTTAATACATTTTTCCATCAAATATTTGTAGTAATCATGTACTCGAGTCTGCTGTTTTATCCACACCAGGTCCTCTATTTGTTCTGTTCGTTTGGAGTAGTTTTTGACCCGAACATGTATAGCGAGTACGATCCGCCAGAACACCTGTTTCGCTTGCGTTTGGTATGTACTCTTCTGGAAACTTGTGGGCAGTTCTTCAGCTCTGGCTCCAGTAAGCGACGTCTTGATTGCTTTCTTGTGTATTTTCAAGTAAGTATTACATTATTTTCTAAAGTTCAGTTTATATTATTAACCACCAGACTCAATAAAGACAGCACCCAGTAAAATTATATTAGACAAACAACATTAAATCTACAACGTAAATCTACAACAAGCACATTAGTTAATGAGACACTGACAAGAGGTGTACATTTTCTTTACTGCCTTGTACTTCACCCTTTAATTTGTTATCTTCATTACTGAAGTAAAGTGAAAACTTCTTCCAGCTGCATTCATGTGTGTACAACTATATTAAGAGATATTATCCCCTCATGAAAATACTTAAATATGTAGGAATAATTCAGTTATACAAACATAAAATTTAATAATAATATAATAGTTTTATAGTACATTCCAGTCATTTTACAAATGTTTTAATCTGAGCACTTACTTTGGCTTATAATACCTTTCATATGCAAATGACAGGTATTATAAGCCAATACCAACATATTCTTTGGTCAACATACCTTTCATACATTGAAAATAAAACTCATAACATAAATATAATAATTTCCAAATGTTTTGTTTCATTTAAATAAAATGTAAATATCATTTGACAGCATTACTATCAGTATAAAAAGAGTCTGAGCATTTGGAATGAAGAAAATGAATTTCCCTGGCAAATTGAGCACCTTGTGCGGGACACTATCTCTGCGGTGAGGCCCAAGCTACAGCTCTGTACCTCCCTGGAGGAAGCCTACAAGGCTGTCCAGCATCTCAATAATCAGATTGTTGCCAAGGCAATTGAAGTAAGTCATTACTTTTCTTGAGTTGCTTGCCCTAATGCTTTTGTAATCACTGCAGTAGACATGTCTAATTAGGGTCGTAAATCTTGCATTTGGATACAGCTAATGGGGATTGTAATTCATTTAGGTCCTACGTACAGTATTTTTACCAACAGTTTAGTAACCTTTAGGTAAAATGTGGAATTCCTTGAAGTTGTTTTTTTCTGTTTTGTGTTAAAAATGTTTAGTCCATGTAATAAAAATTCTGAGCTCTCACAGTGGGCTGCTTCCTCAAGGAAGATCCCATCATGTTGCTTGATATAGATAATGCAGTCAAGCAAGGTGACAAGCAACATAGTGTTGCAGGGAATTTTTAGGCTGCTCTGATACGTCATAATGTTCTGAGAAATTGATAATTTCTGCCCAAAAATGACTGACGGATGTCACACCATAAATGAAGTCTTTTTAAATCTTCAGTTGGCTTCACAGGTGACTGTTATATGAGAGCTTTCACTAACTACCAGTTTGGCTGTCTGATCACCCCCTCACTGACTGCCAGAAGTAATTATCAAAAGTAATTACCAAGCTGGGATCGTTTCTTGACCTGTTGGCCAAGATCAAAGTGTGACTGCCAGAAAGTAGCAGCACAATACCCACCCAGGAGAATAATAGCATGGGTATGACCATATCACCAACCAAAAGGTCTGGTCAGACACCAGGCCGCAGTGACATTGATCCTTGGAACCACCTGATGGTAACCTTTTAAGTCATTTGCAGACTGGATATATTAATTTCTCTACCAAATCCTTCAGCACAACATGATCCTGTAGGAATGCTTTCAAATTCCCTGGGGCACAATGTTGTATGTTATGCTGTGAAACTAGACACCACTGATGTTCAAGGACACGGTTGAATTGTACTTGAGGGAGCATCCAAATGATACAGCGCAGAAGGAAGCTTATTATATTCAAAATCTTATTTTTCCTGGCAGCAAGTACCAAGCTTACGGCAACTCCTCCAGCCAGAAGAGGATAGCGAAGCCCTGCACACCATCACAGAAGAGGGTAAGTGATACTATACAGTTAGTAGAATGACTGGCTGGCCCAGTCCTTTAGGAAAGGACTTTAGGAAATTAGAGTTGGGAAAAGACCTGGGTAAATACTGGTTTGGTTGCAGGGTTGTTGATTTGTGGAACCAATTACTGCATAACATTATATAATATATATTATATAATGTTAATACTGTATATAAATAAACATAAATAAATATGTTGACCTGGAACTAAAAAAAATTGAGCCACAGAGTCCATGGCACCGCACACATGCCAGGTTCTCAGCGACTTGCCCTCAATTGATTTTGCTATATGTTCCAGAGTTGAGTAGTTGTGGAAAGCCAAACTCAGTCTAACAATAGATATACACAGTACGTACCACTTTGTGGTACTGTGTATCTGTATTGTTACTCTGTGATCAAAGACCTGATTAAAACTCGACGTTGTCCAAGCGGCAAATTGCAGTACGAGAACAACCGGTTATAGCTCTACATTTTACCCATCAACTAGCCATCACTTGACCACCACTAGGTGGCATTCAGTTCAACCTACAGGGTCAAGGGAGGTAGTTAACCTTACTATGTGCCTGACACCCATCCTAGCTTGTCATGCCGCAGCTGATTGTCAACTAGTTATCCTTGAGCCTGTCTTTGTGCAGGGAATTTGTTCTTCACTTAATGTTAAATGTAGACGTCCATGTGTTGGTTACACTATCACAATGAGAACCGACACATGCTTTCACTTTTGATTATAATAAACCTCATTTACTATTATTCAATTTTTAAAAAATACAACAATTTATGTCCAAAGCAGGTGACAGTAGTCAAGTTTTGGAGCTGGAGGGGGACATCCTAGAAGATATGGAAGATGATGAAGAATTTGAAGAAGTGGAAGGCGACTTGGATTGGAGTGAATCTCACGGAGATTCTCTCACTCCTTCCCAGCACAGCCAGCCTGGGCGCAACACTATGGAGGAGGTAAGTATTATTATTGAAGTGCCTTTCCTCTTAAGTGTGTAGGTGTTTAGCTACAGTATCTTCTATTCATTGGTTATCTATTGTATGTTACCTTCCCACTTGCAATTGGATGGATCAGATGCAGGTAACTCTTTATCTTACTACAGCTTAAAAGTGTAGGCATACAAGACAGACAAGTCAAAAGTCTACAGCATACATAATAAATTGTTAAAATATTATGACTGAATTATATCTACTTTACCTATTAGAAACATGGTTTTAGCATAGTATTAAAAGAAAAATAGCAGTACTTGGATTACAAATTATACTGAATACCAAATTGACCCAAAAAATATTAGTGTAATTGATCTGCTTAAGAGAGAATGGATAAGCAACACCCACCCTTTTTGCCATTATTGCTAAGTTCATTATAGGCATTATAAGATCCGATAGAAAAACAGTGTGCAAGTGTCAAATCATCCAATCATGTTACATTAACCAAATTGTGTCTAAACCTTTTAAAAAAATTAGTACTGTATAGTATGTTGAAATTGTGGAAACAACTGTGGACAGTATTGTATGGAACAAAAATGTATTGCGTAGCTTAGGACATCAGCATATAAAGGCCTACAATTGTTTAGGCTCCATTAAGAAAACTCTGAACTGGTATGTAAATGCTGGACCAGGTTCAGTGTGTACATCCAGTATATGGAACTGTTTTTGTTTGATGTGCATTACATGAGAGAGTCAGTGACACTGACTTAACACTAAGTAAAGTAGTCCTTGGGTACACAAGATAATTTTTGTTCCAGAGTATTGTACATTAAATATATAATATGTCATATTGGATAGTAAGTTAATTGATGAATAACAAATATTGAATCAAACACTGCAATAAGAGTAGGAGTATCCAGAGCACTTAGGATATGATTGTATCCAGGGCACTTAGGATATGATTGTATCCAGGGCCGATCGGCCGAGCGGACAGCACGCTGGACTTGTGATCCTGTGGTCCTGGGTTTGATCCCAGGCGCCAGCGAGAAACTATGGGCAGAGTTTCTTTCACCCTATGCCCCTGTTACCTAGCAGTAAAATAGGTACCTGGGTGTTAGTCGGCTGTCACGGGCTGCTTCCTGGGGGTGGAGGCCTGGTCGAGGACCGGGCCGCGGGGACACTAAAAAGCCCCGAAATCATCTCAAGATAAGAAGGGCACTAAGAACAGGATAGGATCCCGGCTACTAAGTGTAGAATAGTTTTCCAGGACACTGTGAATAGGGCTGTTACTGTGCACTGTGATAAATAGGATAATTTCAATGCACTGTGAATAGGATAGATTACAGTCCACACAAGTAGTTTTTAGCTAACACAGTAGATCCTGGATGCATTTATGTACATCAGTATTATAAATTATTTGTTCTTTAAAATTATTTTTTCTGTAGACATGCTTACCTATTCCTATGAGGAGCAAAATCTTGCTTAGTGGCCTCACCTCATAGCTTCTATCTGAAGCTCTCATACTTCTAGATGTTCTAATGCTTTTGCATACTTGCTTTAAATATGAGTACAGTATTTCCTTATGGTTCTCTGACTCATCTGTGTTTCAATTGTCAGTTTCCATTTGCCTTGCTTTTCCAATCTGGAAAAGAAACTATATTCACTTAATGATGATTTCCGGGCAAGAAAAGGCCAAATGAGGGGGACATTGTGGAGACTAGAACGAGGGGATGCCAGTGAAGATATATGAATGTAGTCTTTGTTTAGTGTTTGTTTGCTTCTAATTCTTATCAATATAGCATAATGTAATAATTAGTTAGCACATAATTTGTATAGGTTAATTTATTAATTTGTACATGTTAATGTTTTGGTGTAATTTTGTAGGAAGGTGAAGGTGTGCTGACTGGAGATGCAGAAGAAGAACTAGTAGATGATGATGATGGAGAATTAACCGAGGGGGAATTACTAGACGGGGACATGAAGGTTAATGTTAAACATGTCGACTGTGAGGAGGACACAGACTTCATGTCGGCCTTTGATCGCATGATGGCCGACAGCCTTATAGAGCGTGCGACCACCGTACCTCGTCCTGGCCAGCTAGATATATCTGTACCTGTTCACGTCAAATCCACCGCCAAAAAAACTTACGGTTAGTTGTTTTACACTTCACAACAAGAGACAACACAATACATAAAATTCATTATTCCTGTGCATAATTCTGTTGTGTGACTGGCTGACACTACATGTGCTTCGCTTAAGATTTGTCAGCATATTTGAAGGTCTGCCCATTATTACTGTCACACTGTAGTATTTTTTTATATACTTTTCACTTCCTTTGGTCATATATGATCTGATTCCATAAAACACAGTCTATCTCTGCTTCCTGTTTTCCATTTGCATGGATAAAGACATTTGCCAGGGAAGAATGGAAACTGTAGAAAAAATGCTAAAAGATATTCTAAATGATGTCAAATTTTTCATTACTGTAATTCCACAGTTTATAGCATCAGGTATACTAGTGCCTTCACAGTAAAAAAAAAACACATATCACTACTTAATCAACTTTACGTACCAGGTTTATTGTAAGTAAATAAATAGCCAGGAATTCATTCTCCCTAAACAGAATGAACTTCCTCCTACTCGTCTTCATTGCAACTGTACTCTTGGTCTCCATACTGTATTATACTTTCTCACTCCCACTCACTGTATTTCCCCACTTGCCCACCTGCCTCCTGCTCTCAAACTCTTTCACATATGGCACACTCTCTTCCCTCTTAATACAGATTCCTTAGAGTTAGAACTTAAAATTGTGTAAAAATTTAAAATATTTTTGTTTATTCTTGTTACAATTTTGTTTACTGGTCTATGAAGAATGCCTTTGCATATTAGCATGGTTCTTTTATGACATATATGTTGTAAACATGATTCTTATTGTTAATAGCCCATGTAGTTCCCTCTTGACATACTTTAGAAATGCTTTAATTACAGTATAGCTGTAACCAAACTTGTGTACACAAGACTTCTTGCTAAGGAATAATCATGGTAGTCTCAATTGCAAACAACACCTTGTCAAGTTTTGTAATGTATACAGTTAACATTATCTTGAAACATTCTTGCAAAATACACAAAGTTAAGTACAGTATTCTAAAATACACATATTCCAAGTACAAATAAAATTGTTCTATTTTAAATTTTATTATGCCACATCTCTCTCCTTTCCTGACCTCCATATTGGAGGAGGAAGAGAGAAGTGGTTAAGAACTTTGTGAAGCTCTTAAAACATATTCCTATGTATTCTATAAAATCTTGTTTGATATATACAAATTCAGCATTTGCAGGAGTTTTCAGGAATGCATCCCTTGCAAATATCAAGCATTTACTGTGTTAACTTGTACAAAAGCATCCTAATCTTGACACTCCTCCAATCAGATCAGCTGCTGTGTGAGAGTACAGAGGAAGAGAGCAAGCCTGTTGTGAACTTTGTCTTGATGACACGCTCTGGCAACAAGCAACAGTATAACAGTGTGGAGATGCCAGTGGATTCTGAGCTGGTCACTAAGCTCCGAACTCGTGAAGAGGTAAATACTGTAGCACAAAACTGGATAAAGTCCAGTTCTAGCGTATTTATAATTTATTCGATGCTCGTAGATTATTTACAATATATTCACATGACTTACTCTTTTACATGGATAAAATTAATGTAATGTTAGTTTAGAAGTTCTATTTGAGAGGACACTCAGCTTGGTGACTTCGTTTGATAATTACTTACAGTACTTGAGAAAAAACATTCATAACTTGAACTCTTGCAGGCGGAGAGAGCCGAGAAAGAAAAAGTTAAGCGCATGACACTAGAAATAAATGAACGTCAGGAGGAAGAGGAGGCAGCAGAAATTATGCAACAGGTAAATTATAGAATGAGTTTGTGTATTTATTAAAAGTAATTATACTTTCACATGACACTTTAGTATAATTCCTGATATCCTTAATTTTCCCAAGTTATTTGTTAAGAATAGTAAAACTCATTCAAACAGTTAAACCATTTCATAAATTATTATAGATTTCAATAAGAATATAAGAAATTCCTGCAAGGTTCTCTGTCATCAACCATGCAACAAAACAAGTTCCAGCCAATTTGACTAAAGTTACATGTTTACCTGACTCAACATACTTGGCACTTGATAAAAATGAATACCCATAAAAGTCTCTTAACCTAAGGTAAACTTTTATTTAACTACAACAAATTCCTACATAAACTAAAGCATTAGAGATGTCACTTTAAACTGTCCAATCTTACCATGACGTCAGATGCCATTAACCAAAAACGAGTCCCTAAGGCAGTATATTAAAATCACTTGCATTCCATAAAACTAAACAATTTACTAATGACACCCTAGTACCTTTGTACTCCCCAACACTATCTACACACTTTAAACAATATAGGAAATGATGAGCAAAGCAAGAATCTCTTTTTGTGGATGTCTGTCCACAAGCTCACATTAAATACTGAAGAGATATTCAGTATTTTATTTGAGTTGGAAACAAATTAGCTAACCAAATGGACCTTGGAATAAACATTACAGGAGTTAAAAGTAAAATTTTCTAGCTATATGTATTGATTACAAACTTCTACTTGCATAGAGCACATCACTCTGCACTTTCATACTATATAACTCATTCATCTGTTTTTGTCTCTTGGAATCTACACATTGGCCTTAATATATTTGTGATAGTTACAGTAACAAAAAAATAATCGGCCATCAGAATAATAATAAATTTCAGACAAACTACTCAAATGTTAAAAACAATCTATAGGGATTACATCTGGTACTTTTTAAATTTACAAAATTTTCTATTGCTACACTAAATCAGACTTTAAAGTCTACTTAAAGGGATGTAATGGTACCCATGAACATCTCACTAGAAGCAAGTACAGTATTGTACAGGCATACTTTCAGTGCAGCTCAGTACCGATTCGGTATACAGTAGTTTTTTTTTTTTTTTAACAAAAAATTAATACTCTACAGAAGAGTGAGTACTGAACCAACTCCCACACACCTAGTCTCTCTTGTTATGTTAAACAAAAATAATGGCACTAAATAATTGAGTGAGTATAGTCTTTCCAATTACTTGAACAATATTACTTCTACTCCGATATATTTTAGCATTTTAGGCACTATATTTTGGCGAGAAAATTCATCTGATTCGAACAATGCAGTATATATAACAGGCAAAGCAAAAACTTTAATTTTTTTTATTCAATTTTATTGCCATTCTTAAAAAAAAAAAAATTTGAAAATGTTACTTTATATATGCATGTGTTTTAGCTGGTTAATGCTACTAACATTATTTCAAAATACAATACTGTAATGACATTAAAAGTATTTTAATTTCTATATTTTCTGGGCAGGCCTCCTTCAGTAGCTTCCCAGAGCTCATGCACTGGTATTCTGGGGCAAAACCAGCTATTTGTTACTATCCTGGCCTACCTTGAACAAGAATCTCATGCATGCAGATGTCACAATAATGTGGTTGAAGATATGAAGGCTAAACCACACACCTGAAGATGTTTCAGTCCGCCTTAGACCATTATCAAGTAGATTGTGATGGGAGCGAGAGAGGCACGGTCATTAAGTAAGGCAAGAGAGGTGGAAATTCCTAGAGGAAGGTAAGAGCAAGGCAAAAGGTATGGATGGGATGTGTAATAAAGGGTTAATAATGGGTATAAGAATGGGAACATAGGAATAGGAAGAGAAAAAGGAAAAAAGGATGGGTAGGCTTATATTAGGTCACGTTTGTTAGAAACGTTAGAGGAGTTGAGAATGTACTGTGAAAGGGGAAAAAGTCAACAGCAACAAAGGCAGGACTAAGGTTCATGTTGGGTATGTTGTGTAATCAGAGCCAATTCGACAAAACAGCATCTGTGAAGAGTAGAGGCAGGAAAGATTATTTTAGAAGCGCAATCAATAGGATGATTAAGAGTTCCTAACATGACAGAAGAGAGCATTGTCTTCATGAGAGCATCATGCTCTCATGAGCATGAGAACAATGCTCTCTTCTGTCATGTTAGGGATTCTTAATCATCTTATTGATTGGCCTTCCAAAATAATCTTTCCTGCCTCTACTCTTTACAGATGCCATCTTGTCGAATTGGCTCTGATTACACAACATACCCAACATGAACCTTAGTCCTGCCTTTGTTGCTGTTGACTTTTTCCCCTTTCACAGTACATTCTCAAATGCTCTAACCTTTTTAACAAACATTACCTGACATAAGTCTATCCATCCTTTTTCCCTTTTTCTCCTCCTATTCCTATGTTCGCATTCTTATACCCATTATTACCCCCCTTTATTACACCTATCCCATCCATACCTTTTGCCTTGCTCTTACCTTCCTCTAGGAATTGTCTCGTCCTCACTCTTCCCTTACTTAATGCCCGTGCCTCCCTCCCTCCCATCACAATCGACTTGATAAAGGTCTAGAACGGGTCGAAACGTCAGCTCCTCGTCTTCTTGTAACAAACTAGTTTGTTGTAGAAATCATTTATTATAGATCTGGCATAAATATTACATGGGGGTCACATGGTCTAGCAAAAGTTAGTGGCAGAGGAGGGGACCTGACTTGGAGCTGTGGGAGGTCACCCCCTCGGGGATTAGGACAGTGGTGTATATGCAGGACCGCCAGCTCTCCTTGTTTTTAAAGTATCACTTTGAGTAATTCAGGTATTAAAGAAACTAATTAATAACTCCGGTTGTCAAGTATGTAATTAACTTATCGTCACGTATGAGTGAAGAATCAAATCTCCTTAGTTCAAGCTCAGCTGACTGGTGGATGTGGCAACGTCGACCTAGGTCAGGTCGCCGCTGGTAGTCTCTCATCTCACCCTCATCTACTTCCAAGACTCCATCTTTTTGTTTAATTTCTCTAAATTACTGAATTTAAGTTTTCATTAATATTGTATTTAATAATATACCTGCTCAAGTATCCAGAGATTTCTCAATTGTTGGAATAACGAGTAAGTCACCTTCAGTGACGTCAAAAAAGGAGGGGACTAGTTTTGGAAGCGTAAGAATCTTGACCACCCTGGGTCCAGGGGTCACTAAAACCCTCCATATTATTTAATTCACAAAGTACAAAATTCAGATCTCTAGAATTATTGTAATTGGATATAGCTTTTGCCAAGATGCCTGTACAATTACCATCAGTTTAATAAGAGTTCTACCATTTGGGTTGTCCAGTACAATAGATTAGTTGTTCAATTTAAACCCTGCTTAGTAAATTGATAAACCTGGCGGAATAATACTCACTAGCCTCAGTTGTGAGGAGAGCTAGGCGAGATCAGTGTGGTTTTGAGCAGCAGCTGGAGGGGTCAACCATTCTCACCTCTCCAGAGATCAGCACTCCATCGGCTGGTTTCATAGTTAAGGTAAAAGTTGCATTGAAGTTGAGTAGAGTAATCTCATGTCTGCCTCTATAGGACACTAAGTTCATTTAGGGAGTGCTTATTAATTTATATTTCTTAGCTTTTGATAATACTGTACTGTAAACTCTGTTAAGATTTTCTCGTTTCATGGAAATACTCAAAAATATGAATGATTTTACATGTGATGGTCCTTGCCATTTGATCTCCAGGAGTCTGGGTTTATTTGGGTCGCAAGCCTGGCCCAGTTAAAGAGTTAATATATTCCCTTGTTGGCAAGTAAATTCCCACACTTAACGTAAATTCATCCCCCCTTTTCCATGTAATTGGGGATTAAGCCCCAAGGGTTAAATGATTAATTGGTCCAGGCCCCGATTATTCGACAGCTTTGGTTACTGGTCTGGTGGTGGCGGCGTAAAGAGATCCCTTGAGTTGGCTAGCAAGCCTCTTGTGACGTCACGTGGCTGTAGAATCTAAGCCGATCGAGCGGCTAAGACCACATGGCGTGGGACTCGGCCGAGAGTTAGCTCGGGGGGGTCCTTGGAATTACAAATTAGCCAACTCAAGGGATCTCTTTACGCCGCCACCACCAGACCAGTAACCAAAGCTGTCGAATAATCGGGGCCTGGACCAATTAATCATTTAACCCTTGGGGCTTAATCCCCAATTACATGGAAAAGGGGGGATGAATTTACGTTCAGTGTGGGAATTTACTTGCAAACAAGGGAATATATTAACTCTTTAACTGGGCCAGGCTTGCGACCCAAATAAACCCAGATTCCTGGAGATCAAATGGCAAGGACCATCACATGTAAAATCATTCATATTTTTGAGTATTTCCATGAAACGAGAAAATCTTAACAGAGTTTACAGTACAGTATTATCAAAAGCTAAGAAATATAAATTAATAAGCACTCCCTAAATGAACTTAGTGTCCTATAGAGGCAGACATGAGATTACTCTACTCAACTTCACTGCAACTTTTACCTTAACTATGAAACCAGCCGATGGAGTGCTGATCTCTGGAGAGGTGAGAATGGTTGACCCCTCCAGCTGCTGCTCAAAACCACACTGATCTCGCCTAGCTCTCCTCACAACTGAGGCTAGTGAGTATTATTCCGCCAGGTTTATCAATTTACTAAGCAGGGTTTAAATTGAACAACTAATCTATTGTACTGGACAACCCAAATGGTAGAACTCTTATTAAACTGATGGTAATTGTACAGGCATCTTGGCAAAAGCTATATCCAATTACAATAATTCTAGATATTTGAATTTTGTACTTTGTGAATTAAGTAATATGGAGGGTTTTGGTGACCCCTGGACCGAGGGTGGTCAAGATTCTTGCGCTTCCGAAATTAGTCCCCCTCCCTTTTGACGTCACTGATGGTGACTTAATCATTATTCCAACAATTGAGAAATCTCTGGATACTTGAGCACATATATTATTGAATAAAATATTAATGAAAACTTTATTTTCTCTAAATTACTGAATTCAACAAAAAGATGGAGTCTTGGAAGTAGACGGGGGGGGGGGGGTAAGATGAGACACTACCAGCGGCGACCTGACCTAGGTCGACATTGCCACATCTGCCAGTCAGCTGATCTTGAACTAAGGAGATTTGATTCTTCACTCATACGTGACGTTAAGTTAATTACATACTTGACAACCGGAGTTATTAATTAGTTTCTTTAATACCTGAATTACTCAAAGTGATACTTTAAAAACAAGGAGAGCTGGCGGTCCTGCATATACACCACTGTCCAAATTCCCGAGGGGGTGACCTCCCACAGCTCCAAGTCAGGTCCCCCTCCTCTGCCACTAACGTTTGCTAGACCATGTGACCCCCATGTAATATTTATGCCGGATCTATAATAAATGATTTCTACAACAAACTAGTTTGTTACATTCTGATGTGTGGTTTAGTCTTAAAGAACCTTGCTCCCTTAAGTAGGTTTGTTATATGAGCTCCTATGACTGCATAATTTAATGTATGTAAGTAAAGCAAATGTAGCTAGTAAAAAAATCATCAATCTAAAACTTGAGCCAATATGAATTTAGAGAAACTGGCTACTCATATGGAATGCCATACAACTGAGGTCACTCACCTCCAATTGCACCACCACCCTTCCATCACAAGCACTGTGGCCAGGTGCCAAGGACAGACTTAAACTGCTTATCCACTTCAGGAGGGCACCAGAATCTTCCTAGGTCATTCCTATGTCATTTCACCTGCACTTTTGAAATCACAGTAACTGCTTTGGTTGCACTCAACACAGGATAGGCGGGGGGGGTTAGTGCAATGTTTGTTTACACCTGGTCTTGAAACAGGAAAACCAGGGATTTGTTTCGCAGAGGTCTGGATAACTACCTGGAAAGAGATGCAGCAGGAGGGTGACATTAATGTGTGGGAGTGATGCAAGGTTATCGTGCAGAGGGTGAATAACCGCTTAGAAGAATTAAATAATGTGGATTGATGTCGGCAGCTGTAAGGTACTTTTTTTACTGCACGTCTCAATAATTTTTCTAATATTTTCTGCCAACAGCCCACGAGGGTCCTACACTCCATCTTGTGGTTTTGTAGAAATTCATTTAACCTTAACAATTTCATTTATATACTGTAAGTTAATTGTAAATATCCACTGCAGTGACATGATTGTACTGTATGTATTTAACAAAACTGTAACAGTCATGTATACTTTTGCAAATAAAGATTAATATCACTATTTTTCCATGAACTTTAGTAAATTGAAGGTAGTTTGAAGGGATGGGTGCTGATTTGTTGTGTTACTTCCACTGGAAGTGACATGCATGTGCCAAGCATGAATAAGGGAAATGGAGGGAGGTGTATTAAAGGCAAGTGTACTGGAGGCAAAACGTGTGTATATCTTAAATGTATGAGAATAAATAACTATTAATTTTGTATAGGAAACATTTCTATTGTGTTCGCAGACACAGCGGCCAGCCACCATGAACTTTAACCGTGATAGACGACCAAAATATCAACACCCAAAAGGTGCCCCTGATGCAGACCTTATATTTGGACCTAAGAAGATTAGATGAGTGGAATCATCTTCATTGAAACTTCATAGAGAATGTTGTCTTATCATTTTTAAAATACATATTTTTAAATGCGGTACAGAATTGTGTTTTATGCAGATACTGATGCTTTATAAGAATACGTTTCCTTATTAAATGCAATAAATCTGTTAGACACATTGGTTGTTCATGTCATCGAGAAATTCTACTGTTTAACAATTGAATACTTGGCATGTAACAATACTTTGTTGAACGTGTTTTGTTTCTGCATATAGAAAAAATATTAGTTTAGAGATGGAGCATTCTGTGATTACACTTGCTTCTTAACAGTATGTCTACATGCTTGGCTGAGTACATGCATAAACAAGATACTAAAAAATTGGTTACTTTGGTAGTCACTGAAAACTGAACTCATTGTGAAACTATCATCTTTGTGAAGCTACAGCAAGTGGAAAGACATTTAACCCAGACTACTTCATGGATGAAACTAGTATTTAATTGAACTTTTTGTGAATATTGAACTGGATCATGTATGATTCTTATGCTCATTCAATTTATAAATAAGTTCTGTTCTGATTTTTAAAATATATCAGAGAAGAGTCTCAGTGTTTTAATACCCTGACTTCTGAATATAAAATAAAGGTCTCTGTAATGAGTTGATTCTGCAGTATATTAACAGGACTAAAATAAATTTAATTTATTACTTAAGGGTGATTAAGAACACCATTACAGTATTTTATACTAACAAAAGGCACATCTTGCCATGAACACTGCAAAATCAATACAACGGGTTACAAATAAATCTTGCTTTACACACCTGTTAACAATTCAGGAAACTGTAACCTGCTATTCAGACAGAGAACTTTCAATGGATGTAGTACATATACGTGGAGTTAGATGAAGCTTTTGACAAGGTACCACATGAAAGACTGGCAAGGAAATTACAAGCACATGGAATAAAAGGTAGAATACTAGAGTAAATAAAACAATGTTTAAAACAAAGAAAGCAAAGGATTGTCCTAAATGGAAATGAATCTGAATGGAGAAATGTGGCGAGTTGGGTACCACAGGGTCCATTTTAGGGCCAACCCTTTTTTGTTGTGTATCAATGACAAATGACTACATTACAAACAGTATCAAATTTGCAAACGACACCAAGATTTATGGTGAAGTAGAACGTGAAATTGATATTGAGGTCTTATAAAAGAGATCTACATGAACTTCATAACCGGTCGGATGACTGGCAAATGCTTTTTAGTATTGAAAAATGCAAGACCTTTCATGTGGGGCATAACAATCACAGCTATTAAATACCATTACCTTTTAGCAAAGTGATGACGAGGACCATGGAGTCAGAATCCACCAATTACTGGAAGCTGCACAAGTGGGAGCTGCAATTAAAAACCTAGAAATAGTCACATGAACCTTTGAATTAAAGAAAAAGAAGGCAGTTATTGAACTGTATAAATCTCTGGTCCCCCCCCCCCACTTGGATTATTGTATCCAAGCATGGAGATCAAGAAAGAAATGTCTGTTTTGGAGAAACTTCACCAACGGGCAATAAAAATTATCAAGTTTCATACCAAGAACTATTGCGGGCCACAGGGCTAACATTGCAATCCAGACAGGACAGGGCTGATCTCATGGAAACTTAAAATACTGAACAATTTGGAGGATACTGATTCAGACAGCCTCTGTAAAAGGTCAAATGGAACATAAACAAGGAGCAACTGTTTCAAGCTACAATGTAAGACAGAAAAATAGATGCTTTTTCACTTTTAAGGTTATAAGCCCATAGAACTACCTACAGTACTGCCAAAGCTATACCTGCCTAAACACTGCTGAATTTAGAAATCCAGCTCAATAAAATTATTAGGACAAATGGGGGTGGTCATTGAGATCACTGGAAATAGTGGCTCTCAGGTAAATTTAGGTCCCCGGTAAAAATATAATATGTTTTTACTTCCTTTGTTTTATAGAGACAATAAATTGATCTGTCTCAGGCTAAATTTCATTACTCCCTCTCTAAACCCTCCTGATCTAGATACAAAACAATGGAGAATCTTTTAATGCAAGAAAGTTATTTGCAATCTGTTTAGCTGAAAATTCTAGTTGCACAACTTTGCATTATGGGATTCTAAAGATAATTGTACACATGGCCTGCAAAATTAATTATACATATTCATTCAAGGCTTATCACAATGTTAACTAAAACATTATTATTGCATATTTTAACTTGCAAGTCCCTGGGCAAGGTAGTTTTGTGAGAATCTATTCACGGTCATCTGCTGTTCTGCAAGGGTTTGTGTCAAATGCCTCTCTTTCCCCACGAGACATAACGTTTCCATAGTTGGGGTAAATGTGCACATGTATGACAACTTGGAAAGCAGTCGAGTATGACTTGTAAAGCTCCCTCATTTAGCCAAATGGTAGGAGGCAGACAAAGTAAAATTAAAGGGGATAGACAATCTGTATTCCCCTTTTAGTTTTACTTCTGTCAGGGAGTCAAAGTTGGTAAACCTAGCCCCACCCCACAATTAGAATAAGCTTTCTGTCTTGGGATTAGAAGAATAAACAGCAGACAATTGAGGACAACTTGTACAACAGTATTCAGGCTGTGGGTTCTGCAGTACAGTAGTATATCCTCTCCTGAATTGAGAGACCTGGGGTAAATTCTTGGGCAGAACCAACTGTTGGGCAAGTTTTCTTTCACCTGCTGTTCACCTAGCAGTAAATAGGTACCTGGGAGTTAGACAACTGATGTTGGTTACATTATGGGGAGGGTCATTAGTTGACCTTCATACGTCTACAGACAAGCGTCCTGTCTCTGACAACAGAAATTATAACCCTTGCACAACTGTAGACAACTGCTGAAAATATATTCTTGTAGAACAGTTAATAACTGAAGATATATGTACATAATAGGCTCAAGGAGCTGAACATTGGTTTGTAACATACCTTTAGACAGTACAACACTCCCAGGCAGAGCACAGGGCACACACTTCACACTTCAAGAAGACCTGGATAAAATAAGTATATGGAGCACTACTTGGCAAATGGAATTTAATGTAAATAAATGCCCTGTAATGGAATATGGAATAGGAGAACATTGACCCCACACAACCTATAAATTATATGAGAAATCTTTAAAGAATTCTGACCAAGAAAGAGATCTAGGGGTGGTTTTAGATAGAAAACTATCACCTGAGGATCACATAAAGAACATTGTGTGAGGGGCCTATGCTACACTTTCTAACTTCAGAATTGCTTTTAAATACATGGATGGTGAAATACTAAAGAAATTGTTCACGACTTTCGTTAGACCAAAGCTGGAATATGCAGCGGTTGTGTGGTGCCCATATCTGAAGAAGCACATCAACAAACTGGGAAAAGGTGCAAAGACATGCCACTAAGTGGATCCTGGAATTGAAGGACAAGATCTACGAGGAGAGGTTACAGGCATTAAATATGCCAAAACTAGAAGATGGAATAAAAAGAGGTGATATGATCACTATGTACAAAATAATAACAAATTTATAAAATTGATAGGGAAGAATTCCTGACACCTGGAACTTCAAGAACAAGAGGTCATAGACTAACTAAACAAAGATGCAGAAGAAAATATAAGAAAATTCACTTTCGCAAACAGAGTGGTAGACGGTTGGAACAAGTTAGGTGAGAAGGTCGTGGAGCCCAAAACCATCAGTAATTTCAAAGCATTATATGAGAGTGCTGGGAAGACGGGACGCCACGAGCGTAGCTCTCATTTTGTAACTACACTTGGGTAATTACATGCAGATACACATATGGTCATCCTCCACCAGGACGATATTAGACCACCATAGCAGTCAAGAATTAATGGACTATTAATTTCTGGGCTCAGTGTCACAACTCTTGTCTCGCATATTATCCTGTAGCATAGTAGTCTACATGTCCTTGGCTCAAAACTGAGGGACCTGGGTTCAATCCCTGGGCAGGACAGAAATGGTTAGACACATTTCCTTCCAACCGAGGACTTTACATAACATTAAAATAATTACCTGGAAGGTGGGCAATTGTTGGGAGTTGCATCCTGGAAATACTTTTGTTTAGTTGGCCAAGCAGGACCTTTATAAACCTAAGTATTGTACTGTACAGACATCTTGTTAATTACAACGGGAATTATTACTCGTCACTGTAATATATATATATATATATATATATATATATTTTTTTTTTTTTTTTTTTTTGAGATATATACAAGAGTTGTTACATTCTTGTACAGCCACTAGTACGCGTAGCGTTTCGGGCAGGTCCCTGGAATACGATCCCCGCCGCGAAGAATCATTTTTTCATCCAAGTACACATTTTACTGTTGCGTTAAACAGAGGCTACAGTTAAGGAATTGCGCCCAGTAAATCCTCCCCGGCCAGGATACGAACCCATGACATAGCGCTCGCGGAATGCCAGGCGAGTGTCTTACCACTACACCACGGAGACTGTAAATGGAAAGACTATATGGAAAATATATATAATGTACTGTACAGTACTGTAAATTGTTGCTGTGTTTCATTGTCCATCTGTCTTTATACTATCTAGAGTTTTTAGACTTGCCCAAGCTTACTCTCGTCTCAATAACTAAAAGGAAGAAAGTTACAGCATTGAGAATTAATTATAGAGCTTGCTATCATATATATACATCAACCGTCTATTATATTTTTAATTGACAAAACCTATAATGAGAATGCTATCTGTATTACAAGATATCCTAAAATGACAATACAATACTTATTGCATAAATTTGGTCATACAAAAGTATGTTGTGGCAGCTGCCAGTGCTCATGGTTTGTGCTATTAAGTTTGTAGAGGACAAAAAAAAATCTAGGCCTAGTGCCAGTATAGCACACATATATATGTACTATATTAGAGCTAGGATTGCTAGAAGAGACTAGGTTAAGTTCTTTGAGTAATTTACCATTTTTTAGTATGCCATTTGGGCTTATTCAATAATACAAACCATGAACTGTTTTTTGTTCAATACCTAGTGTCTATTTTTGTAATTTTGAACAAATAGTTGCTATAAGTACTATTATTTTAGGAGGATGGGCAGTATATTCTAAAATAATAATAATAAAAATATACAAATTAATACGCATTGGTAAAAAATAACTGTTGCAATGTATACAGTGGTAAAATAATTGTTGCAATGTATATACTGTATATAATAAGGCCACTAATACAATTCAATTTCTTTCTTTATTATGCACCCTATACCCATCCCGTGGGCGGTCATTAATACGCACAGCCTTTTGTGCATAACTGAAACTAATTCAGCAAGGTAGTACTGTATACAGGTTTGATGAGGGTTTGGTGTGATAATAAGGAAACAAACAGTTTACATACCTGGGAGTAGGAAGCTGTTGTGGGTAGCATCCTAATGAAGGTAAACAGCTAGCCTGGGCCACGTCCTGGTGAACACCAATTACAGGTTTGTTCACCAATTAATGGGTTTCTTGTCCCCTACAGTGGCGACTAAGACATCCTCTCTACTGGTGTCAAGGCCCAGCAATAGTGCTCCTCGACTCTGCAAGAACAACATCTGTAATTAACCTTTACCCTACTAGGAAAAAAACGGGGGTTGGGGAAATTGTACAATACTGCCATGTGATTTCCCTACACCTGGAATTACCCGAGGGCCACCATCTCCCTAGTGACCTCAATGGGGACAGGATGCCGGCGGCTTGACAATGGTCCTCAATTGTTTCTGATGATTTTTTTCCAACTGATTTCCCCCCCCCCCCCCCGAGGGGCGAGTGTATTGGGCAACGTCACTCATCCTGTGATGTAAGATCTTGGCATTATTATAGTTTCGGCGGGTAGGCGGTTCCACGGATTTATAACCCTGTGGCCTATAGGTAAAAAAGCATCCGTTTTACCAAACAAGGAATAGTTTTTATTTAGGTAACACTCTTACTATACAATAATCAAAATTATAAAATAACCCGAAAAAGAAATATTCTGAAAACCTAACAATATTCTCAGTATCTATTACGGTAATAAACAAGGGGGTGTAGCTCAGTGGTAGAGCGTTCGCTTTGCATGTGAAAGGCCCCGGGTTCGATCCCCGGCACCTCCAGGACTATGGGGATGTAGCTCAGATGGTAGAGCGCTCGCTTAGCATGTGAGAGGTACGGGGATCGATACCCCGCATCTCCAAGTTTTAATAATGAAATAATGATTTTGTAACCAGTCTGTATAAATTTCAGACTAGGTCAAATTTCAAGATTCTAAATTTTCTAAATCTTCTAAATTTTTGTACATACATGTCACGTCGTTGTAGATAAAATTGTATTTGTAATTTGTGGAGAAAATTGTGTTTTAATAAGTCTTAAAAGACTTTAATAAACAAAATCTATTAAAACTTGGAGATGCGGGGTATCGATCCCCGTACCTCTCACATGCTAAGCGAGCGCTCTACCATCTGAGCTACATCCCCATAGTTCTGGAGGTGCCGGGGATCGAACCCGGGGCCTTTCACATGCAAAGCGAACGCTCTACCACTGAGCTACACCCCCTCTGACTTTTACGATGAAATCGTCTGTATTTATATATTCAAATTCATATCCATTAGCTGACCATGTGTACTGTTTATGTATTTTATGATGTGATTAATAATACTTATATTAAATACATCAATTGTGGTAGTTACACTTGATAAATATTACTTTAACATGTTAAAATACGTTCACGGGAGACATCTCCCGTCACGCAGGGTGCAGTCGCACCTCCACATATTTCCAGTATTAGCTTTTGATACTGGTAATGGCTCAAAAGGGCCACCACTTACGGGCTATTCATGCCCGTGCCACCTTTTGGGTGGCTTAATCTTTACCAATCAATCAATCTTAAAATACGTTAGGGGTGTTAGCGCGACCAGACTGGTGAGTAGCGCCCAAATGCCGCCGTCTCTCGTGTTGTACGAAAGGAGAGAAGGTTAGCACTCCCCTTGATAAGGACGGACAACACATATAACGTCAAGGCACAGTCGCTCCGGCGACACCTGACACCATTTTTCCAGGTCCGCACCAGCGGCCTCCGTCACTATACGTCTTGTTGAGGACGTATAGTGAGATACTGTGTGTTAATGACGGGGCTTCATCAGAAGGGTGGCGCTCACAAATCACCCGTTCCCAGTACGCGCGCAACACGAGTTCGAATCCTCCTAAAGTATATATATTTTCAATTAGACTTGTATATAAATAAATATTCCAAGAAGGTACATTGCGTTGTGAGAGTACATAACATTGGTGGTCTTAGATTCTTGCAAAGCCACTAACACGCATTCCCTCTCAGCGCTTACGTTAGTGTTTGTGTGCCTATATAGCAATAATTGTTGTATTGTTCATGATACTACAGTGTCTGCCAGGTCAATGTATTATGTTGGTAATAACATATCAGCTCGTCTTCTCCAGAGTTCACAGCGTCACTAAACTGATTTACTAAATTATCTGAACTTATTCTAACCGAGGATCCTGTATATTTTGCGAGCCACTATGATTTGTATTGTCAACTACATCAATATAGGTACAATGATCCACATCGTTATTATAAGTACTATCTAAACTGAAGCATGGGCTGCATTTTTAGTACATCTGCTTTAGGCCATAGTGAATTTATACGTTAAAATGCGATGTACTATTTGAGAGGACGGGTAAAGAGAGATTGCGGGCGTTTTCTTTTAGTCATTAATTCTATCATGAAAGAAAATATGAAATAGTGTTCAAATAGCATGTTACTTCTGTGAGTTGTGTTTTCCAAAGTAAATGCACTGTGTAAGCTTTGCGGTCACGTTGCGTTATGTTACATTGATTATACTAAACAATTTAGCATATACACCCCTATAGTAACATAACACTGGTTAGCTCGTGCTTTCTCTCAACTTACAAAAGAAAACGTACTTTGCTACCATAAGGGAGGACTTAAAACTTTGGCATTCTCTGTGCCTTTGAAGGGGTCGGATTAATAATAATTCATTGTATAAACAGCCAGTGTATGTCTTAATGTTAGGCTTAAATAGAGGTCCCCCCCCCCACCAAGGTCGAATTATTGACCCCGCCCAGGATGCAACCCCACAACAAACTGACTAACTCCTGGGTACCTACTTACTGCTAAGTGAACAGATGAATTAGGTGATAGGAAATGCGCCCAACCATTTCTGTCCCGGCCGGGATTCGAATCCGGAATTCTTGATTGTCGAAAACGAACCCAACTGTACTACCTGGACCCTTCCACAATTTTACCACAATACACGAATTGGGTATATATGGGGCTTTTAGTTTATATGTTAAATTATTTAAAACTCTAACATCTGTACATTAACAGTCTATATAAACTCAGCAACAAGTTCGTCAATGATGTAACTTAATTAAATCAATATTAGAGTTCAATTTATGAACGTGAGCTCTGTATACATGTGCTTCTTAACACTCCCACCAAAACTGCAACATTTCATCTAGAAATGATAGCACCTGTTATTACTATGGATGGATATAAAGAAAATGTGAGCTGTTGCACCCATAAAAGTCACACTTTGTATTATTCATTTTATACAGAGTCTGAGAAGGCAAGGAGTCCCATAGCCATACATCTTCCATGTATGTGCTTTTACCCGAATAAACATTTGAATTTTATTTTTTTGGCGTTAGGGGGGTGATTAGCAGTGATTTAATCAATACGCCTGAGTTAGGCATTTGTTGCGGATTGCGTCCTAGAGAAAGGCAGCAGTTGGAGGACCTCGATAAATTATCTTGCCGTCAGAGGCAGATAGTTTATTATGCAAGACTGTGGGCGATAGCACAAAAAAAAATTACATAGAGCACAACAAGTTTTAATCTGACTTCACCGGAGATTTTTATATTAATAGTTCCATCTAACCTGCACATCACTTACGGGCTCACCATAGCCCGTGCTACATAGACACTTCGTTCTGAGTAGCTAAATCTGAAACATATAATGACAACCTGTTACAAACTTTTGCATTGCAAAATCTATGTATTTTCAATAAATTGTTATACAGTGTAAGAAGATCTTTTGTTAGTACCTAAAATAATTTAAATGTGAAGTATTACAGGATCATAGAAAAGCTGTTTATTATTATTAATCGTCACACTATAGAGCTTAACACAACTCACGCCGGCACCCCCCCCCCTTCATCGTGCATACACAATTGCACTTTAATTTAATCTGTATAATGTACAGAGTTCATTACGGTCCGTTACTCCTATTTACTTCAATAGTGGGATTCAGTGGAGTCCCAGTGTGTTTAATTTATACCATATGGCGGTCTGGGCTAAGATGCGTCGATGGGAATACCCCGATCGCTGTAGGCACTGTTCCATTATGCTTTACTTGGGTTTACTTTATATGTTGCGTTCAGTTACTACCGTTAATTTAGTTTATTATCCTTCATATAAGTCTTAATTATTTTCTTGATACATTTACTTAATAATTATGTTTATTAAAAAAAAACTTCCCATGTTCACAATTCACATTTGAACTACATAATATATAGCCGGTTAATGTACTACATTTCGATAACATCCAGTCAAGTGCCCACCTGTAAACAAAATACAGGTAACCGTCTGACTTTACATGCCTGAGGGCTGGACGGTAGAGCAACAGTCTCGCTCCGTGCAGATCGGCGTTCAATCCCCGACCGTCCAAGTGGTTGAGGACTTGGGGCACCATTCCTTTCCCCCGTCCCATCCCTAGTCCTTATTCTGATCCCTTCCAAGTGCTATATAGTCATAATGGCTTGGCGCCTTCCCCTGATAGTTCAATTCAAAATTCAATACATGCCAGGGGTCAATAACCACATAATTACTAACCTAAATAAACACTGCAGGATTCTTTTACCGATGCACGCCGTTTGCATGAGGGTAATGTACTCAAGATGACTGCAAGAGGTGTATAGTGAGCAGTGTGAGGCCTCGGGCGTCACGCTGGGTCAAAGTCTGACGTTGTTGCTGCTGTCTCACTATTCCACGGGCACTGGGTAGTGATAATTGTTGTGATGGCGTCATTTGCTTGTGATATTCCAAGGTTGTCTATTAAAGATAGTGCACACGCTGTCTCAGAGTTTATGCTTCCTGCAACACTCTTACTTGCTGATGTAGCGACCATGTAGGCTTGTGCTGCAAAGAATATAGCTCTGGAAAAATAATTAGATCATTATACTTGTGACATTATACAAATTTTAGACAAAATTTGCGACAATAAAACCTGTAACTAGTACACCGTAAGTGTAAATTGCTTACCATATACAACATTGGGGTCAGTTTCAAAACCCATTACTGTACTCACCTAACCTTTGTGCCTGACCTTTGCCTCTATATACCACTCATAGGATACGATTACGAGCAGGGTAATAAATTAACTTAACTAGATTAAGGGCTGTGTGCATGATGTTGTTTTCTATATTAGGCAACATTTGGGGAACTCAAATATTCCTGTGCATGGCGTAAGCGGAAGGACTGTATGAATGATTTGGTTTGGTATGGTCGTCATTTGGACGAAGTGAACGGTCTGATGTCGTCATGGTGATATTGTATTTTGCTAATTTATTATACATCCCATATTTATCCCGTAGAGGGGGTGGAAAAAGTTTTGGAGGAATATAATGGCCCATCATGGTTTGAGGAAGGGAACTATCAGGGGGGAAAGCGTTAGGCCATTACGACTATATAACACTTGGAAAGGGTCAGAATAAGGATTTGGAATGGGTCAGGGGAAAGGAATGGTGTCCAACAACATTTGGGGATTGAACGCCGACCTGCATGAAGTCAGACCGTCGCTCTATCGTCTAGCCCAAGTGGTTGACTTTGAGGAATGGTTGGAGTTTTTAATGTGAAACTGTATTGGGGGCGATATAGAATCTGAAGACAATGGTATGAGTGTCGACACATGGGAATGACTGGGGACTGAAGTTGTGGCTGGGAGTGAGTCTACTCAGCTATCTGGTAGATCCATGTGTAATTATGAGTAGCGAAGGTATGGGAGCCCTTGAGTGCCAGAGATGGGGGAGAGAGTGACGTGTTAGTTTATTATGCATCTCATACCCATCCTGTGAGTGGTAGTAGACCACATACCCATCCTGTGAGTGGTAGTAGACCACATACCCATCCTGTGAGTGGTAGTGGACCACATACCCATCCTGTGAGTGGTAGTGGACCACATACCCATCCTGTGAGTGGTAGTGGACCACATACAACCCGTTCTCGCAAATTTAATAAGTCAATATTGACTTATTAGTTGCGTGCATAGGTGACATACTAAACATAATAGTTTCCCTTGAAAAGCTTCATAGAAAACACCGACCTTACCTAACCTACTTAGTATGTTAAAATAAGCATCTTATAGCTTCGTAATTACAATTGTTACTTAACCTATTATAGGTATAGGTTAGGTAATAATTGTAATTACGAAGCAATAAGATGCTTATCTTGACATACTAAGTAGGTTAGGTAAGGTCGGTGTTTTCTATGAAGCTTTTCAAGGGAAACTATTATGTTAAGTATGTCACCTATGCATATATTTAATAAGTCAATATTGACTTATTAAATTTGCGAGAACGGGTTGCCACATACCCATCCTGTGAGTGGTAGTGGACCACATACCCATCCTGTGAGTGGTAGTGGACCACATACCCATCCTGTTAGCGATACTGTAGTGGATACAGGATACAGAGGCACATAATAGGCTCAGGAATTGAACCGCAAAAAAAATCCTTTGCCTCAGCAAGTTACAGTGTTGATAAGTTAGTTCTATACATGTCCACAATGGGTCGAAAACGACCACAAGTTTTCTTATGTTTAATAGTTTATCTATATACAAGAAGTGCATTGGGTTAGTGAGAACACATAACATTGGTGTTCTTACAGTCTAGCAAAGCCGTGAACCCGCATAACGTTTCGGGCAGAACAATGAGTCGACCACAAGTAAGTTAAGCAACTTACATTTGTGGTGAACTAGTTTCAAAGTTTTATTTGTTTATCATGCACACTGCCGCCCATCCAGTGAGCAGCGGAGGAAAGGTTACAATAGCCAACACTTTCTACCTACAGTTAGCAAACTTAGTAATTACCTAAGTGTAGTTACAGGATGAGAGCTACGCTCGTGGTGTCCCGTCTCCTGTGTGTGTGCGTGTGTTGAAGTATATGTACTAGCTAGTATGTACTAGCTCTATATATAAATCCAACTTTATGTTTGTAAAACAACTATGTATGTACTTTTCCTGAACAAAAATTTATTCTATTTATATTTATTTATATTGAAGAATATGCATCATGCTTACTTTTTGCAACCTAACATTTAGCTCAACAAATTTTGCAAATGATAAGAGGTATTGAACCATAATATCAGACAGCTAATAAACTAGAATACCAGTCAGCTATTGAGCAAGAATACCAGTCAGTTGTTGAACTAGAAAACCAGTTAGCTGTTGAGCCGGAAAACGTTTCAGCTGTTGAACCAGAATAAAAATCCAAAAGTCCAAGTGTTTACAATTCTGAGGAGACAGCCGGATCTGGTGTTCGGATCCTCCGTGACCATGGCCACGGCGATGCTTGACCTCTCCCACAGACGTCAGACAATCCTGGAAACTTGCATATCCTTGGCGCTTAACTCCACCCCCCCCCCCCCTCCGTAATAGCTGCAAATATCACTTGGAAACCTCATGTTTTATGCAGTGACAGATATTATTCATGTGAATATCCAGGTGAATGTTGCTGGGGGAATGGCGATGAAGGAAGCCGGCTTGCATGCACGTACGGTCATTGATGAATTTATTTATCAATATTTACATTACAATTATTCACGAAATGTGTACTTAATTCAAAACTTATGTACTGCCAATAATCTTAGCTAAGTAAATGTTCAAAGTTTACTTACTGTAGGTAGTTCAAGCACATGATTGTAACCTTTCCACCAATGCCATGTGATTGGGCGTGAGGTGCATGTAAGTAAATTAATACTGTAACTAGCTCACCATTAATGTAAACTGTTCTCCATAGATACTGTGCTCCAGATCTTGAACTCATCTATATCTCTAAAAGTGGATGTCTATTTGTATATATTTGTATCTATTTGTATATATATGTATATAGTGGATATTTCTTTTCTGTCCAAGGTTGGAGGGCCAGACGCTTGTGGCTAGTCGCATTAAACTTTAAAGGGTGGCTGGTGAGTGTACGGGGACTGTCATAGGAAGGGTCGGACCTCGTGCTTACTTGGAAGGAGATCAGCCCCTATAACACTTCTTTATGAAGTTGGTGTATATGAAATATTATGTCCCCGGGGCTCTCAACACTTAAATGGGAGGGGAGATGGAAGGGAAAGAGAAAGGAGGGAAGAGGGTGGAGATGGAAGGGGAAGAGAAAGGAAGGAAGAGAGGGACATGGGGAGAAAGGAAAAGAAGAGGGGTTGAATGAGGGGGGGGGGGAGGTGGTGGGAGAGAGAAACTACCACGGGCACTGCCGGATGCCTCTCCTAGTATTATTATATATTAAAGTTTTATGTATACTTAGGCATAGGTTAGGTGTTTAGGTTCATTTGGCCATTATTTGTATTTGAAGTACGACGGCGAAGAATTTACAGCGTTGCGATTCCAACATAAGTCATCAGCAAATCACTATTCGAAAAATGTTCGAACGTCATCAGTTGTGAGTCATGTGTAAACCGTTTTTCATTCATAAACAGGGGGTTTGCCGGCTAGATTAACGAGCATTTAGCCTTTGTGGATGAAGACTGGCTGCAGGATAGGTAAGGGATGCATAATATATGAAACAAACCGATGAATGGTTACTATTTGCATATTCCCCCCATTTAGCGTCTCCCTCAAGAATAAATAACGAAATAATAGGTGCGATAGTGACAACCAGATGGTCCCTTAGCACGAACAACGAAATTTAGATGCTCTGATTACCCGAAATACGGACAAATTATGGAACGCGTGTTGGCAACATAGCGACCAAAACAAACTGTCACTTTCAACAATTCAAACCTTGTAAATATGGCTTAAGCCACAGAATGGTCTTCAGAAAATGACTAATAATGATAAGTGAAGGGAAGTTTCTAGGTTCCAACACCCAAAATGTAACTAACATTGCCGGAAAAATATTAAAATAATAACAAGGGAGGGGGGGGGGGTGCCCGGGTCTCTGTTCCTTTCTCTCTCTCTCTCTCCCTCCTTCCCTCCCTCTCTTGCATTCACTTTCCCCTCCCTCCTTTCCAGTCTCTCTCCCTCCTTTCATTGCCCCTCTATTCCTCCCATTCTCCTTCCCTCAGTCCCATTCTCCTTCCCTCCGTCCCATTCTCCTTCCCTCCGTCCCATTCTCCTTCCCTCCGTCCCATTCTCCTTCCCTCCGTCCCATTCTCCTTCCCACTCTCCTCCGTTCATCCCTCCCTGTCTCTCCCAGCGGGTAAGACCTGCACCACCAGTAACTTTGAGCGAACATTGTGACGTTGATAAAGGATGTTGGATTCATCCGAACAATCCGGAATTGTTGTTTAATAATACACTTGCACGTGTATTAGGTCTGTTCTTCACCTTCACTAATAATAATAATAATAAAATAATAATCCTTTTAATAATAATAATAAAAATATAATAATCCTTATAACAATATTAATTATAATTATAAAATAGGATAATTCTAAGAGTTGGATATAGGTACGCTACATGTGGACACAGGAAAGCTACAGGTGGACACAGGTAAGCTACAGGTGGACACAGATAAGCTACAGGTGGACATTCCTCGGAACTCCTTCCAAGGATCCATGTTCTCGCGGCCCAGTCTCCCGATTGGGAGACTAACTAGGCTGCCGGAAGCCCTTGCATGCCTCCTTTTTTTTTTTTGGTAAGGAATTATTTCAGTGTGTATATCCGGAATTAGTCCCACTAATATTTTCCAATGTGTAAGTTATAATCTATCTCTCGCTTGATTTCCAGTGAGTACTGAACATTTTCAAGGATTTTACACGATCCTAATCATTTAGATGCTGTATTGATTATTTGGAGAGTAAAGGTTCTCTGTATGTTCTATCAATATGCCACACTAATGTCTGAACACATCGTTTAATCACTTAAAAATGTGAAAATTCCGATAATCATGCTATTATGACATTTCCACAGTAA